TTCGAATACGACTGCACGGGTGGCATCCGGGAGGTTGCTGAGACTGGAATTATCGTAGTATGGCGTCATACGGATGGGTTGGAAAGCTGTCGATGTTAGTTTTCTGGTACCTGAAGCTGTGTCGATAGTGATCTCGTCAGGTTCGCTGTCATCGCGCAGTCTCCGTTTTCGCTCTGTCTCTATAAAGGGGTGAGTGTCGTGGTAATTTTGTATGCCGACGACAAACTTGTGGTCGAGAGAATCGTGAATACAGGTTTCCGCTACTTGAATACACCAGCAAACGACTAATAGCAGTTGAATTGACCTTGCTGACAGTGAAGCCATTGTTGTGGCAGTTGACTAACAGTGAGCGTATCCGTCGTAGTTAATGGAGCCAGTGATCTTCTCCCAAGACACTCAGTTGATAAGTGATCCTAGGAAAGTATGCATGTCTTCACTCGAGCAATACATCCAGACTTGTACGAATTAGGACATCATTGTGTGTCGCTGACGTGAAGTAGCTAATATTGGAGGTGAATCAGCTAATTATGGAGCTCATTCAACGGTATGCTGGAATACTTTGATATTCCTGGAGATACTCAAGTAGCTTGGAGATGGTCTAGTTAGTAGCCAGCCTCGTTCAGTGTGTCCTCTATTGGAGCACGGGTCGTACTCCAATATAATATGTGCTGCCCAACGTCTCTTTTGTTAGCACTGTATCTAGCGCAAATTTCTGACCAGTTGCAGCTAATTGTGGGCCCACAGGCCAGGTGTGCGAGCCTTCGCCAAGGAAGTGATAGCAAATATAGCTGCAGACTTGTTTCAAATTCTAAAATGTGTCGACATTGCTTGCACGTTTGTCCCTATGCAGCGTCTTGTCGTTTCAGACACCTTTAGGTCTCTTCATTCAATGGACTTCTATTATCATAGCGTACTCTCTTTCTATCGCCATTCATGTTTTTTTCTGTTATGGTGTGATATATTTTTGCACTTACTTAGTATCTTTCGTGTGATAACGCAGATTTTGGTGGAAGACCCCTGTAAATCATTCACAAAAAGTAGAAATACCGGTATTATACAGGTATACCTACCTATCTGATTGGTCAATATTGCAAATGTTTACCGTACGTTACTCACGTGCTGAAATCAGCGCAAGAACAACCATTTCTGAAGTGCTAACCTCATTTTCTCTCTATTGTGTCGCTATGGCAGACGACGAGCTTCTTCGCGCGGTGGGAGACTTCCTATCACCTCAAGGCCACGCCATTGCTACCACACTCAGTCTCGATGAAGTAGACAGCGATCAGCTCCTTGCGGACACGGACGTACTGCTTCAATCTCTAAATCGGAATCAAAGCACCACTAAAGCCGAGTGTAAAACCAAGAGCGACATCGCCAGGTTAAAGGCCGGTCAGCGAAGAGACGCCTACCGCGCACGACTTAAGGCCGAATGGGCAACTTTAAGGCAACAAGATGTGGAACTTAGCAAGCACCTAAAGAAATTGAAGCAACTTAAGACCCAAGAGGAGACGATGAGCTCCCCCTCGGACTCACTAGCTCTGGGAGCATGGAGAGCTATTGCCATTCGACAATACGAGAGCAGGATGGAGGCGGAAGCGCTCCAGAAACGACTACAGGCCGCTGTAAATAGCCGAGCTGTGATGATCCAAGATCTGGAATCCGTATTGCGGAAGAGAGTACGAGACATCGAAAAAAACACGACCGTGGAGATTCCAGAAATTCTGGAAAAGAAAGCGAGACTTGGATCGAAAGATGCCACTCTATACAACACCTACTTTCAGAACCTGGATGCACTATACGAACGGTTAGACGAGGTTTTTAAGGAAGTCGGGGTCACTCCAACTCCTGGTGGGATTCTAAGTGGGGAGCCAACTAGGAATATGAATGGCGAGACTGAATACTTCGAGACTATCGGAGTGGGTCGAGTGCCATTTATTTTTCAGAGGACATGCGATGCAGTATGGGAGTTGTTATCTGTCCCGCATCGACAGGAAGGGAGACTTGTGTACGATGGATTGCCCGATCCGGATAATTCGTTAGCTATACAGTTTTGCTCTCCACTGCAACGAGAAAACGGTGAAGTGCTGAAGTTGCGCACGCATCAAGTTGCACGACGGTACATTGAGAAGAACCGCTTGGTTGTAGTGTGGAGAGGACTGTGTGAAGCGGACAGCGAGTTTCTCGGCATGAATTCGGACGAGACGGGGTGGTGCATTGTTCACTCTCCGGAAAGCGATCCGGATTTCTTTGCGGATCCTGCGACGACGCTAGTGCAGGCGTGCACTCGAATGGTTCCGATGCATTTTCAAGACGGCGAAGATAAGGAGGGCAAGGTGAATCAGTTTGTGGAGCTGCTTGTGAAGACAGGAGCCGAAGACAATCGTGAAATCGAACTCATGATGGAGAGACTTTTGCTGGATGACGCACTTGCAACAGACGGTCTGGACATTGATGAGGACGGTAACTTAACTTCATTAGAAGTCTAAGTCAAGCGCCTTAATGGAGCAGTCTCGTTGAAGAGTAACATTTTTTTTTGTTATTTGTGCTTCTTTTTGTTATTATTACGTGCTACACGTGCACATGCATCATTCTGAACAACGACTGTCTGCAGCGCAATCGAATGATACAACATGTACAGCTAACAATGACTCGAAAGACAGTGCAACGTTAAATATTCCCAAGAATGGAGGAAATACTTTAAATTGATTTAATGATAAACGGTGGTTAGAGGAAACGGAAATGCTAAAATATTGACTTAATCATACACCCGGAAACTCCTTCCTTGATGCGATGGATGATTCCCTAACACACCACTTGATTGGCGAGATGGTTCTCCAGAGAACTCGTGATTTCGACAAAATCCTCCGATCCCATCGTATGCAACAACCGAGAGAACTGCTCTTTGCCTAGCTCGTTGTCTGTGTTGCTGAAATGCATTGGCTTGTGCCGCATACAAATAGCTAATGAAGTACCGACCCCATCCAGAATCCCGGAAGGCTGAGCAATAGACCAGCCCGTTTCGTCTGAGTGCATGCCGCAAAACAGTCCCTCCCCTTCGGTGAATGATTTCCAGACCACCACCAAACGATCCTCCTCACTGTAGCGACGACCAACCATGCTCTGAACCATCGACACTGATCGACCACAGTCCAAACGTCTAGTGATGCGCAGCTTGAACGCGATAGTATTGCTGACACCATCTTGATGTTCGTAGAGCATGTAGTATTCTTTGCGAGCAAGTGTGTGCGCCAGTTGCCATAAAACTTGACTAGCGAGCTTGAAATCGAATGCGATGTCACGTCTGTCTGCAAACGTAGAGAACCCTGTTGCAGCGTCGAATACCCACTTTGAAAGAGATTTCGAATCGTTCCGAAGAGTTTGAAAAGCGTGATCAGTCTGTGCATACACTGTATCGATTTCGCGGAGATACGTCTCGAGGATATCGACGTCTGAGGTTCCAATTTGAACGCGCCTATGTCTATCGAAGTTCAACACTTTCGACAGGGTTTCTTCAGTGCCCAGTCGCTGGTGCATCTCCTGAATCAACCGAGAACGAGACTCCACTGCGAGTTTCAAGCGCTGTTGTTCTAGTTCAGCTATTTGCAGTGCTTCCAGCTGCTGCTCCGCTATTGTCCTCCAAGCAGTGGCTGACAAGGAGTAATTGGCTTGTCTTGTTTGTTGGATTCTCCAATACTTGTGGGATAAGTCTTTCACCTGGCGCTCCAACATCTCCCGCTCTAAGCGTCGACGTTCACGATATTGTTTCCGACGTTTACGATCCTTTGCTCTATCAATATCGCGCACCGACAGTATACCTGCTGTCCTCTTTGTAGAGGTATGGTTGCTTTGGGGAGGAGGTGCGAGCCGAAGATCCGGTGATGAGTCGTTGGTGCTACATTCGGTTGTTGTATCCATGACAGAATCAAGAGGCGAACCGCACGAGTCGAGGAAACACTCGACTTCTTTGAGAAAAGCTTCATCCGAAATCGTCTCCATGACCAGAAAACGATAATGAAATGGAGTGAGAATGTTTTAGTGTTTCAAAGTTGATTATGGGATACCTTGTTCAGTTCAGAAAACAGGTGGGGGTAAACAGGTAAACATGTTGCTTCACACTTTTTGGCAGTGCCTTACCAATTAGTTGTCGCCGCGTCGGATTGAGCGGTACAATTTTAATCTTTTGATTAAAATCGATTACGGGACGCTTTGTTAACTCAGCTGCCCAAAGGCACTGAATATCTCAGCGTGTTCACGGTTTTTCAAGTTCGAACGCAATCGTTTCGGTGCGTGTACTAAACAAGCTGCCCTTCCAGTGGATCCTCGATCAAGAGGGACGCCATCATGCGCGTGATTTCCGAGCCATCCTCTTCTCCTGACGTCACAACCAGCTTCGCAAATTGATCCGCATGAGCCTTGTTACTGAAAGTTGTAGCAATGGCCATCGGTATGAACCGTGTAAAAGTTTGGATAACAGTCGCTGTAGCTCCACTGTCGACTGTGCTAGTTGGTCGTACGATGCACCACCCAGTCTCGTCGGAATGCATACCCGCAAATTCGGCGTCCCCCTCCGTTAATGCGCGCCACACGGTGACCACCCGGTCCGCTTCGATATATCGTTTTATTACCAAGTGAATCAACATATCCACCCGCTCCCCTGTTTCCTTTGGAGATGGAATCCGACACTTTACAGCGATAGTATTTTCAGGATCAATAACGCCGCGGTAGTGCTGTCGATCTTTTTGCCGGTGAACATGGAACATAGCTTGCCACATCGCGCTGCTCGTCTTCTCAAAGCTGGACGGGATCAAGGACACGTCCAGATTCTCAAAATATTCTAAATCACCGTCTCGTTTCCACTTTGGTTCCTCTTTGTAAGATACTAGTGGGTTCTCCTCGACCCCGGAAGCTTCGAAAGCCTCGTCTGTTTGCTTGTATACTTCGTCCATATCCTGCAAATACTCCTCGAACAACGCTATATCGTCCGCGTCTAGTTCCACATCATTCGACGTCTTCGTCATTCCAGGTGCGTTAGGTGAACTCACACCATTAAGTTGCTGTTGCATCATGTTGTTAACTTCTTGTATCACCTTGGCTCGACTCACTACAGCACATTTTAGCCGTCTCTCTTGCTCTTCAGCTATCAGTCGACCGTCCATTTGTCTCGAGGCGATAGCTTTCCATAATGGCACTGCAATACAGTTCTCCTGAATAGTTCTGGTCTTCTTTCTGGCCCGTTGTAAAGCCTTTAGCTCTTCTGACAGTGTCTTTTCCTGCTCCTGGAGCGTCTGACGCTCATTCTTGATCTTCACTCGATACCGGTGACGTCTTTTAGCTGCTTGGGCAATCCTGAGCTCATGACGTAGCTCTTCTGGGGTTTTGTGTGTCTTTATAGATGTGTTATAGGACGCTAATAAGGCCTCAGTCTCCGCTAAGAGATGGTCACTGTCCTGCAGCAAATCGGTTGCGTTTGGCGCTGTAATTTCCAGATCTGGGACGCCACAGTCGTGTAGGAACCCATTCAGATCAGCCAAGAAAGACTCGTCGTCCACGCCTCTGCTACCGTCCATTGAGTCAGCCTCTGATATCAGCACTCCATTGACACTTGGTATGGGTGGTTCATCCTACACGTGTTCGTGCAACATTGACATATTTCGAGATGTGCTTGTAGCAACTTAATAATTTAATGAAATTTATTCTGGTTCAGACTCGGAATCAGAAGTTATGATGGAGTCAGTTTAAAGTTACTTTAGTAAAACACATAAATGCAATTTTTCCACAGCGATGATCAACCAGGACGACGCCGCCTTCCTAGCCGAATTGACGGGTTTCCTGGACGACTATGAGGCGCCGATAGAGATTCATGAGCCAGACCTCGCTAGCAATCTCTTATTGGACAGTGACCAGCTCTTAGTGGAGACTGAGGCCCTGCTACTTTCTTCAAACGAATATCCTACCGAACCTGCTCATGCAGAGCTTTCAACGGTTGAGCGAGTGAGGAAGATGAAAAACGCACAAGCGGCCAAGAGGCGACTCAAGTACCGGAAGAAGCTCCGAAGCGAGCGAGAAACGTTAGAGGATGAAGAGAAACTTCTATCGGAGGAGTTGGAAGAGCTTCAGCGGGCTCGAAAGCGAGCGAAAGCGCTTGGGGATAAAACGTTAGCAACGTCCACGTGGAGAGCAATCGCCATTAGACAGAAGGAGGGCCGATTGGTAGCTGAAGAGCAGCAACGGCGACTGCAAAATGCCGTAGAGAATCGAGCTAAAGCGATCGAGGAGATCGCTCGGATGATACGAGACGACATGAAAGGGTCAAAGCATACAGCAAACATTGAGATGGACAAGCGGAGTCTCCTCAAACTCAATGCGGACGATACAGTACTCTTTGATGAATTTTTAGATGATTTGGAGGTCATGTATCCGCGAACTGATGAGGTTTTTCAAGCTTGCGGAGCTGAGGAGAAGCCGACAATGTCGTACAGATTGGGACCACACCGAAAACGAGAGGGAGACGTGGAATATATTGACAACTTGGACGTATTACTGATCCCCTTCAGCTTCGAGCAGACGTGTGACACGATGTGGCAGTCCATGACTCGCTTGTATCGACAGAGAGACTGGTATCACTACAACGTGACTGACCCAGAAAATACGTTGGCAGTCAAGTCGCACGTGCAAGTAGCGAGAGAGTCTGGAGAATCAGTGCAAATGATTGTGCACTGTGTAATGCGCAGGGTTTTAGAGAAAGAGCGAATGGTTGTTGTGTGGCGAGCGCTGTCTGAGGGCGAAGGAGAGTTTAGTGGGATTCATTCGGATGAAACTGGATGGTGTATTGTGCGTCCGAATGACTCGGACGAACCGCTGTTGCGGGTCGTCATGCAGACTTTTGTTCGGTTTATCCCAATGGATGTCTCGAATACACCAAGCAATGACGTGGGTGGATACCAGTTTACTAAGTTTGTCGTGTCTTCAGTCGAGGAAGACGGTGCCGAGATTGCACGAATGATGGACTCTTTACTTCTTGAAGACTTACGCTCATGAAAGAAAAACAACGGCGTTAATCCGTTCACGTGGAAAAAGTGAATTTTGAAATTAAATAGGTTTTCTACTTCTGAAGCAATAGAATATTTGTTGCTGCGCTGTTACCTCCTTTCTGATCAGCAGCCAAAATCTAGATCGCTTTTCTATTGCTTCGAAGTATTTGAACAACGCCTGGTAGAGTAATACAACTTCAAATTTGGTGCAAATCCAAATGTTAACATTTTCTACTGGCCTCAACGCGTCAGTGTGAATAATAAAAACAACTATATGCTGTCAGTCGGGCTTCCCAAGGCCACTACATCCACAGCATCACTCAACTGCAGACGCTCCATCATCTGCTCGACTTGGAGATTATCTTCTTTTCCTGACGTGACCAGAACTTCCGTGAACTTTGCAAAATCGGGGTGGCACGATACATTTGGACTGAAATGCATCGGGACAAGCCGCACACAAGTCTTGATGGTAGCGAACTTGCCAGCTTTATCAAAATTATCTTCTCTGCATTCTCTTGACTGGATAACACACCACCCCGTTTCGTCTGATTGCATTCCAAGGAACTCCCCCTCGCCTTCCCATAGTTCTCTCCAGATGATCACTGCACGGTCTTCTTCAATATATCGTCGAGCCACAAAATGTATCCAAATCGAGACAAATCCTCCAGTTTGAAGTCTACACTTGACCCGAAATCTCGTGGCAATCGTGTTCTCATCATCCACCCCATTAAACTCTTCTCTGTCGAGTTGTCGGTACGACTGATGTGTAATCTCCCACACGGCTAACCACGTTCGTTTGAAGTCGAATGGCACGTGCAATACACCTACATTTTCAAAGTACTCGGTGTCTCCCTCTCTCTTCTTCAGGGGTTGAGAGTTCAAGTACGGTCCGATCTTTGGCGCGGTCTCGCAACACTGAAACACAGCATCCGTCCTGGCGTAAATCGCGTCCAGTTCGTCTAAATAAGCTTCAAGAAGCCGTTCGTCAACAAATTCTCGCCCAGTTTTCTTGTATTGGCAGGAGTTTTCTCCATTTGCCTGCTCCGTCTCTTTTAACCGTTTCCGTATCATGTCCTCCACGTCTTGGATCAGCTCCCGTCGTCGCTTCACTGCTGTGTTCAACCTCTCCTGTTGCGCTTCTGCAATTCTCCGGCCTTCCAGTTGACGCAAGGCCATTGCTCTCCACCTGGAATGAGCCATCCCACCCTGGTCTCTCTTGCGTCTGTATTGCATTTGTTTGAGCCTCTCAGTCAGCTTCATCTCCTCACATCGCAAAGTCTGCCACTCCTTCTTCAGTCGCTTACGGTATGCGTCTCGACGTTTCCCAGTCTGTAAGTTACGCAGAGCGCGTTTACGCTCCGCATCGTCTCCTGGGTTGTCGCTTTCTTGCGGTCGAACAGTGTGGGTTATGACGTAAGTGACGTGATTGGCGAACGCTTCATTTGAAGCAGAATTTGACAAATGGCTAGCTGAAGTAACGGCTGAAGTGGACACTTGGTGACCCGCCTCGTCGTCCAGGAAACTCGAGACGTCCGCCAGGAACGCAGCCACAGCCTCGGATTCTTCCCTCCTCATGCTGCAATCTGACCTACCTACTTCAAAGACCACTTGAAAAAGTAACCCTTGTAACTCTTGTGAAGTAACACACAACGGACTACTTCATGGTGACACAAAACAGGTGGGTTAAATTCACACCGAAAATAACGGAGAAGTGTCTGTCAGACCGAATTTTGCAGCAGCGGAAAGTAGAGACCATCACTCTGCCTCATCAAGTTTCCACATGCTGCAAGAGGAGCAAGTCGACGCCGCGCTGTTGGCCGACGTGACAGGTTTCTTGGCGGACTGCAGCGCGTCAGCTTCATCAATAGACCGACAACGGAAGGCGCCGCCGTCCTTCAGTGACGATGTGCTGGTCCTGGACACGCACCAGCTCATAGCGGAGACGGAGACGCTGCTCTCGTCCCTCGAGACCACGGCACAGGAACAAATAGCTTCCAATACTCTATCAAGTTCCGACGAAGTTACCATCACTAGTGACCACAAATATACACCCAAGACGGACGCAATGCCGGCTGAAGATAGACGTGCGTATCGAAATGTTCAGGCTGCCAAGCGCCGACTGAAGTACCGACAGAAGCTCAAAGACGAGAAGAAGACGCTAGAAAGTCAGGAAATAGAGCTCTCGGGTGAGTTAAGCAGGCTACAAAGCGCTCAAGAGGCTGAGAAGATGAGGTATGTGGACAGAATGTCGCTGAGTGTGTGGAGATCCATCGCTACGAGGCAGAAGGAAAAGCGTCTGGAGGCTGAGCAGACTCAGAGACAACTGAGAGCTGCAGTGGTCGGCCGAGCGAGGATGATCCATCAGATGAAGGCACTGCTACAACGACCTTATGTGCTGGAGGAGAAGAATATGCTGTATGGGGAGGCTGACGGAGGCCATGCCGATGGCTCTGTGTTGTTTAAGACTTTTGTGAGTGAATTGGATGCGATTTACGCTCAGACAGACCAGGTTATGCGAGAAGTCAACGCCGAAGTGTCGACGAAATTTGAGTACAATCTGACACGGAAAGTTAAGGATGGAGTAGAGTATTTCGACAGCACCGACGCTACGGAGATTCCATTTGCATTCGAAGACACCAGTCGTGCGATGTCGTTGCTGATGATGACAGATCCAGACGTACTACGGCACAATTCACATGCCCAAGAACCGAAGGATACAGTCACTGTGAAGTATATCGCTGACTGCCAACTTGAGAGAGATGAAGTCGCTAAGCTGAAAATCTACTCGGCTATGCGAAAAGTTAAAGAAGCTGATCGTGTGGTATTTGTGTGGCGCGCTGTGACGGAGGGACAAGGCGATTTATCCGGACACCACACAGACGAAACGGGGTGGCTTGTTTTGCGCCCACAAGAGATTGGCGATTTCCCATCGACAGTGTTCGAGAGCTATACACGCTTTATTCCAATAGATGTCGGTGAGTCGGCAAGCAAGGCCGATACAGATCGATTTGCCAAAGTGGTTGCGAAGTCAGGAGAGGAAGAAGTGAACGAGATGATGCAATTGTTGGAGAAGATGCTACTTGGAGGTGACCAATTCTACACCAGCGGTCATCCCCGTTATGAAAGTGCCTAAAGTCATTGTGCTGATGCTGCTTTCATCAACCAAAATGTATGACAGTCTGCATCATGCATTGCATTTTTACACAAATGCTAGATGATAGCAATACCAAAGGATATCCTTCTGCGTGCTCGTTAGCCGTTCTTTTCAGCGGGGAATGGGCTGATGCGACGGATTTTAATCTCAGACTAACGGTGTAGCTAGCACGAAAAAACTCTGGATATTAACCCGGCTGAAGAGCAATGGAAACGTTGCGATTCACGATAACGGTGCGGTGGCAAAAGACCCACCAAATACCTAGGTGAGGTCCTGTGTACGAGTAGATCGAATTCTGCCAAATGCAGCAACCTCCAGACGCCCTCCGGAGTTTCTTCACACGAACTCACACGTTGAACAACGCCTTCTCCAAGGTTGAGGCTATATCCCGCGTACTGGGAGTTTTCGTGCCGCAGCGAGCATATTTTCTAGAGCGTCGTCGGTGTAGTAGGCTCGGAAAACCGCGCTCATGCTCGTTTGTTTGTCGGGGTACTTTGCGTTGAAATCGTCTAGGTACTGGGCCCAACGCTTGAAATCCGGACTCGAGAGAAGATCGTCCGACACCTTCTCAAGTGGCAGCAGATACTTGGACCGGTCAGGACGTTCTCGAAAGCGAATCACGTCATCTGCTCCCGGCTTAGTCAATATCAGGGTTGAGCAAAAATACATTTATTGAAAATGCTTTTTCACGAATCACGAAAATAGTTTATTTACGGGTTCAATCCAGTTTGATTATTTATTTACTTATTTTAGGAGTTCGTACGCGAAATTTATTTGTCAGGCTGCACAGCAACCATTAAGGTGTTTGGTTGGTCCTGAAGAGCCCACACGCTAGCCACTGCGTTTACCAGCTCACTTTGCAATTTACAGCACGCCACCAACCACCTACTCGCCACTACGCCATGTCTGAAGCCTCGCTGATGCCTTCCCAGCGCTCTCAGAGCAGCTTCACCCCGAAGCAGATCGCTGAGTTTTACTTCAAGCCTTACCTGACGGAGGATGGGGACCCGACTGGTCTTCAGGTGTGTAAGGCCTGCGGCAAGACCCGCAAGCACGTCCCCAGGACGGGTTACACGAACTTGGTGTCTCACGTGAAGGCGGCACACCCCCGGTTTGAGCTGGAGATGGAAGACGCCAGCATCGCCGCCACGGGATCATTGCTCCCGTGGGTTCGCCAGAAGGCATCGAACCGGTATGCCTGGCTCGAGTGGGTTATCAGTGCAAACCTCCCTCTTTCATTTGTTGAAATGGAGTCCACTAGAAGGTTCGTATTGGTTAAAACTGTGTTTTTCTGTTGAATGTTACCACTTGGCTACTTTGTGTTAGGTACACCAAGTTACCCCCGGTGTGTCGCAATACACTGCGGGCCAACATGGAAGGTGTCACCAAGGCGGTGGAGATCAAGATCGGCAACGAGATGCCCGACAAGTTCGGGCTGCTGCTGGACGGGTGGACGCACGGCACGGAGCATTACCTCGGTGTCTTTGCGTGCTACGAGACGCCCTCCGGTCCGCAGTACCCTCTGCTCTCCCTGGCTCCGATTGTGGTCGATGCAGCCGGCAGGTTTGACGCCGAGACGCACATGGCTGCGCTTGCTGCTTTTCTACCCTATTTTGGCAAGGACCTGTCTAACTGCATATTTTTGGTTGGAGACAACTGTGCAGTCAACAAGCGCCTCGCTCGGCTCATGGGAATCCCGCTGGTCGGCTGTGCCAGCCACCGGCTCAACCTCGCCGTTCGGACACTGCTCGAGCCGCACGAAGCCGATCTGGAGCAAGTCCAGTCTCTGATGAAGCGTCTTCGTACTCTGACTCAAGCTGCCAAGCTGCGGTACGATTTGTTTTTTATTTTATTTTTCTTTTATACTAAGTTTTGTATGAAGGTTGAAGACGTCTCTCAAGCCGAAACTGCGTCAGGAGACGAGATGGGGTTCGACCTACGCCATGCTCGCGCGCTACTTCGCTTTGCGCGAGTTTATCAGCGCGGATGACGAGGATCTTGCCGACTTGATGCCGTCGCCGGCTGCGAACCGGCGATTGAAGGCGCTCTTGCTTGAGTTAGCAGACGTAGAATCGGTGTCGATGAAGTTGCAATCCGAGGATCTCAACCTCTTGGATGCACGCGACTTGCTCGATGGCCTGCTGGAAGTAAAGCCAAGCTTCCGCCATTAGCTCGGTAAGTGTTTATATCTAATGTTTGGTGTTTTGCTTATCTTGCTAAAAAAAAAAACTTTTTTCAGCCCCGGAAGCGGATATCGTCGCTGCTCCCGAGTTTGAAAGCGCCGTGATTAAAGTCCTGGGAGGTCGAGCGAAGCTGCTCTCGCGTGCTGAAAAGGCTGCGCTAAAGCCGTTTGAACGTAAGACGGCCGAAGCCGCCGATGTGACCGAGAAGACGGCCAAGGTGGGGTTTGCGGACAGGATTTTGAAGCGCAGGAAGGTGCAAGAAGACAAGAGCGCCTACAGTCAGCTAAACGCGATTCCGCCGACGTCGAATGCAGCTGAGCGGCTGTTCAGCATGGCGCGTATGGTGCTGAGGTACGAGCGAAACCGGTTGTCGCCTCTCATGCTAGAGATGTTGCTGTTCTTGAAGTTGAACAGCAAGTACTGGGACGTCACAATGGTTGACGCAGTTATCTAGGAAAACACAACCAACATGGTCACTCGTTGTTCCTACTAGTTATTTATTTTCTGGTGTTGTCGTTCACCATACTTATTTGCAGTTCCTAGCAGTCCCTCGCCGCTATTTATTGTCGCCGGAGAAATAGGTAACAGTAATATTTTGAGCAACCCTGGTCAATATGAACACGTAGAAAGCGCTTTTGGGAGAGCTTTCGTTGAGCAACCAACGACTGTACCGTTCGTCCTGCAACTGGTTCGCCAATTTTACAGTACTCGGGTTCGTCATTGCTTTCTCGACTATTCTGGCCACATCGTGATCTTGGTAATATCTGTGGATTGAAGTCAGCAAGCTCTCTTTCTTGTCGGGGTTCTTGTCGTTGAAGGTCTTGAGGTAGTTGAACCAAGTTGTGAACAGCGGAGTGCTGAAAAATTCATCTCCTGTCTTATCAAGATTAAGCGCCTTGAAGACATACGTGGGAGAGTGATTGCTGCTCAGCAACTTCTGAATCTGTTCAGCTTGCAATTTGGAGGCGAGTTTCTCTGTTGATTGGACCTTCTTCGCAGCTTCAAGCATACCAAAAACAGCATCATCGCCGTAGTGAGTTACAATTGGAGGGATCATGGACGCTTTGTTTGCTGGGTTCTTGGCATTAAATTCATCCACGTATTTGGTCCAAGCGATAAACTGCGGGTTCGTCAGTAGTTCATCCACTTTGGAGTCGACCATGAACATCTTAAAGACATAACCCGGGGTTTTACCGTCGTTGATCCACCTCTGAATTTGCTCCATCCTAAGTTTCCTGGCTAGCGCCTCGGTGGTGGAGGCCTTCTTCGCCATCTCGAGGACTCTTGACAGACCTTCGTCACTGTAAAGGGTCAATAAGGACGGGATCATCGATTCCTTCTTCGTAGGGTTCTTTTCATTAAAGTCGTCCACGTACTTCACCCAAGTGTTAAATCCGAGGTAGCCAAAAACCGTGTTTTCAATCTTGTCGAAATGAGGCTCATTAAACCTGTCAAGCTGAAGCTGCTTATAAACCTCGCCTGGAGTCATTCCTTTGTCCTGCCATCTCTGGATCTGCCGAGCCTGTAACGTGCTAACTCTCCCGCCGAGGCTCTGCGCTGCACTGAATGTATGTGGGAATGTTTCGTCGGGGAAGTTTTGTTGGCCGGGTTTTGGTTTCACAAACAGAGATTTGATCTTCTTCGTCAGAGATTTAACCAGCGCTTTAATCTTATCAAGACCGAGAGTGCTACTGATGCCTCTTTCCTCGTTGTTCTCGTCTCTCAAGTATCAACCGATGTGGTTCTTTGCGAATACGCGGGTGAAGTTTGGAGTGTTTTGTCTCACCAACTTGGAGTTCGCAACCGCTGGGGTAGCGTCGACGTTGAAAAAGAGGAAAACTGAATACAGCAACACAACGCAGTAGAGAGGATTCTTGATCAAGCGCCCTCGGAAATTTACTGGCGAATTGCGAAGTGAAGCTATACTGTATAGATGATCTAGCAGTTCACCGGTGGTAGCAGCAGTGCTTAGTCACGTTCAGATTGAAGCAACCGGCGGGGTAGGCCTGCTCAGCAGTCATGAATTCCAGCTGATTTTGTGGGCTCACTTCGATCCCAGGTAGATAAAAGTAGTCTGCAATCACGATGAAGAATGCTGACGAGTACAAAAATCACACTATATGGCACAATTGAACAATCTCAGCATCTTGCTGATTTTTTTTTTCAGCTTGGATTCAGGCAGCGAATCATATTCTGAGTCAAGGCACATTAGCTCCGATGGCATCAAGACACGAATTATACCGAGACAGCAAAATCAACTCAACAATCTAGCTTCCTGTTGGTCCCGGCTGCAACATTTGTACACAAGATCTGACGTACGTACTATTAACTCGTCCATTTAAAAGCAATCACCGCTTGCTATGATCATGATGAGCCACTGCGAAAGAACCCGTCATGCGGGTAATCGACTGATGTTGGTCAATGCTTTATCAAGTAGTGTGTTCTCCATGGTGGTCACGATGTGCATCAAGACTCCTTTGCTGTCTTCATGCAACACCTTATGGAACGCGTTCACAACCGACGACTCTGGTGCTGGTCCGCTGAAAGGAACCGAAACGCGACGAACGCAAATTTCAACTACAGTCCCAGGCTCATTTGCATCTTCAGACGGAAAGAATCGGCACCAACCTGTTTCATCCGTTTTCGCACCCCGGTAAAACCCATCTCCGTCGGCAATGAGCTTCCAGCAGAACGATAGTTGAGTGTCTTGGACGAATCGGCGGCTTATAAAGCGTTGCAGTCTCGACCCTGTCTCTCCGGTTTCCTGCTTATCCGTGTCGACGAAGCTCGCTATAATCGTGTTATCCGGATAGTTGGCGTCTTGGTAGTGCACATAGTCTTGTCTATCGCTGAAAAGCTGCTGGCCGATCTGCCAAAAGATGTAACTCGTTTCAGATACGCTCGATGGCAAAACGAGTCTGGATCGTGGGTAGAAAGCTTCCGCAGCAACGCCAGACTCTCGTTTGTGGACAAGTTTATTGGTATGAAAGACTTCATCCATTTGCAAGAGTCTTGCCTCAAGCTCTTGGATGTACCAGTTGAAAGGAACTGCTAGTTCCGTGTCGAAGAAGACCATCGAGCTGTTAACTCGTTCTGCCAGGATCTCACGCATTGCGTTAATATACATGGCTTGGTTGTTCACGACAAAGCGTAGCTGCTGCTGCTGAACTTCAGTGTCATTGCGTTCCACTCGCAGCCGAGTAGCAAGGTCTCTCCAAAGAAGGTAACACGACGATCGGGTAGCGTCTTCTTTCGCCTTCTTCGCTCTTTTCAACTGGCGGAGGCGCGACAATTTTAGGCGTAGCTCTACCTCTTGCCGTCGCAGTTCGTCACGCTGGGCTTTCTTATTAAGGCGATAGTTTCGGCAGTTTGCTATCCCTCGAGTATTGTGCATACCAACGATGACGTTGCGGGTGGTTCTTGCAGGGTTATCGACGGTCTGCGAGCCCAGTAGTCTTTCGCCCTCCATTAAGAGAGCATCCAACGCCTCAAGTTGGCAGTTCATCTCGGTCGGTGCTTGAGTCTGGTTGTGATTGATTCTGGTTCCGGCGCTTTTTGCGTTATGACTAAGACGTCACCAGCGCGTGAGCTTTGAAAACGCTACGTCATATGATACGGAAGGTATTGTAAACTGTGTTCGCGTGAGTGGATAGATGACCTGGCTCAGAACATGTGAAAACTAGCCTCACGCCATCGCTGTTTACAATCACATCGTTTTTACTGGTTCGTGAACAAGAGCTTCCATAGTTCGTGAAGACTTCGGTTTAGAGCGTAAGCGTCAAGTGCTTGCCTTTGTACCGAATCACCAATCCCACAAGCTTGCTCCGCAATGATCTTTATGCGGCCAAGGTTAGTGGAATCCACAGCAGGATTCCGTGCTCGTCCTTGTGTACAAGGATTTGAGCTACTTGTGCTGTTCCTTTGTTGAAGTTACGTGATGAAATCGTTCTTGCAACAAAATATGCTGTAGTACGATCAGTGTATTTGGTCGTCGAACATTCAGAATTCACGCAATCGATCTTGATTCGTCACGCGCGAATCATCGCCTTGATGATTTGAAGTGATTCGCGCGTGACGAATCAAAACTGAGTAAGAGTGATTGTATATGTACTATCATTCTGACTAATTGTTGACACCTAGCAAATTTTTGTATAAGGAAATCTTACAATAGAAACCCACTACGCCATTCTAACCTTTTACGTCAAAGATGACACGCTGCGTCTTGCTAAGATATCGGATAACGCTCTCTCCAGTCCGCATTTCAAAGTTTACGCTAAGAGCTTAAAGATACTCGACTGGACGTACCCCGAAGAGCACACCACCGTAGTCGCGGGTTTTCTAGCCTACCAGACATACAAACGCCTGCATGTATTGCGACTCAAACCCCTCTCAACCCACGGAAAGCCACCATCTGGGGAATGCTTTGCACAAATTATGGATGTACATGTAAGCGAAAGGAGACGTCTCTTGGTTGCCAATATAGGTCACAATCCGATTTTCAGCTCAGACGCATTCACCAGTACATGTACTATCCCTCGGCCTTTTTTCGAGCGCGCGTGTGTGCCTACATACCGGTATACAAATTTATGCGCTGTGACTGGACTGCGCAGTGCATCATTACCCAAGCGAATAATTTCATGTTTCAATGACATTATTCATCCATGTTAGGAATGTGCTTTTAACACGTTACTCATGTTTAATCCGGCAAACTTGGTTACTCAAAGAGTCGGATTAGCCACTGCCTAATAGCCACAGCACGCAGCATCCAGAGCATGTCAGGCAACAGGTCACTATTCACGTATTGCGCTAAGGGTGCACACCACAGAAAAATCGATATCACGCTAATATTCTGCACAGCGAAGATATTCGTGTTTGTTCATGGAGGAATACGAAATCCATTGAAGACTAAAGGCAATTAAAGAAAAGCAACAAAATGTATGAGCACCAATAAATGGAGCTGTCCAGCAAAGTACAAGGCGTCCAAGACGCAGGAGAGATGGCGTACGAGGACAAGATGGCGTTCATGACGGATAAACGTTGTCACTGGAGATACCTCGAGGATGAGCCTAGGTGAAGTAACTAGCACGGTGTAGATTCTTCTATTTTGATGCCATGAAGAGTCTGAAAACAAGTCGCGTTATACTGCTTATCGTGACGACAGAAGCAAGTTAAGTGTGAGTGCCAAGAAGATGAATTCTAAGTAGATTGGCAAAAGCCGACAACCTGTTCGAATTCAACGCTTTTAAACACACAGCACCCCATCTCTTAGCTCTCAGAGCTCACCTAACGCAAAATACAGAATTACTAGATGCGCACGCTCATGAAAACAAATCGCTACATCTTCAAGACGGGAGCTCGCAAATTGATGTGCTAAAACAGATTGTTTGTCCACTAACAGCTCGAAAACTCCTCGAAGATGAATTAGTCGCATGCTAAGTATTTAAGACACCCCTCCACTACCATTTACTCGATTTTCGGACTTATATGACCCCCCGTCGCCTAAACTTGTTTGTGCCAACACCGCGCTCAGGATTCCGCTTTCCGCATTGCAGACACTATGAATTCCGCCAAATCCGCTAAGAATTAAGCTTTTCCAAAGCAAAGTGGTAAGCAGGACTCCAGCTTACCACTTTGCTTCGTAAAAGCCTGGAGGTCTATTCATCTGCGTGTCTCCGACGTGATATGATATTAAAATGACAACAATGCTATATGAGAGACTTACGTATATTATACTATACGATGTATTAACATACAAAACTTAGATATAATAATGTGAGGCCTCGGATAATTGGCACTCCCTTCTCTTTTTATCAAGTCCTTCACAAGTCCAACATACAAGCTTCCTTCCAAGATTCTCTACCTACATATATTCTCCTCTCCTCAGCTGCCCTAACACCTCTGCAAATCCCTTACTTCAACAGAAGCTAATCGTCAGGCGTTCGTGTAGCTGGGAAACACTACTTATTAATAGAGCTAATGTGGTAATACTGCCTAACCAGCAGTATCACAAGCGCAATCCAGAACGGCCGGTGCGCAATCTGATTTGAGCATGTGGCCGCGAGAATACGATGCAACGCCACTTTACTCAACAACTGGCTGCTGCAATGTGAAAGTTGCGTATGCATTACACCCTCCGCCGCAGCCTGTACTCTCCCGGTTACTCAGTGAAGTCCAATAAAGTAGCTCATTTTTTTTTATCTGGTGTACATGGATTTCGTCGTGTAGATTAGGACTTTGCTGAGTTCAAAAGTCATCTGCTTATTGAGTTACATCTCCAACAGGTGATGCAGAAGTTACTTTCAAATATATAGGCTACTCAGTAGTTGATTTTAGGCTCTAATAGATGAACACTACGCTATACGCCACGCGAGTATAAAACAGGTTCCTCCAAAATGTTGACGCAGGGATGGAAAACATCGAGCTTGAGTAAACGTCTTTTTCTGTTTAACTATGAATAGGTCGAAACGAACAAAATGCACATACACATACAGTACGTAACTCTAGAATATCGATATGCTGGTGAGCAGACGCGACCTTGGGGTCTCCAAATGAAAGGTAGGCACAACACACGTTTAGTAGTCCTATCCCCAAATGATGAGTCACGCTTCAGTGTGTCGGTTAAGCTTACAGCTGGCGGTACCACGTAATCAGCCGAACGCGTAAACTCGAACCATTGAGGGCCCACAAGCAACATTAGCTGCATTACCAAATTTGCTGTTATCATGACAGACTCGATAACGGTTGACGATGCCTTTGTAAACGAACTAGTTACATTCTTGGATTCTGATACGCTGGTGCTCTCTGGGATCGAGCGCTCAATTGAATCAAATCAAGTCGCCTTAGACAGCGGGTACTCCTTCGACGTGCTGATTGCTAGTGATCCTCGGTTTGACAGTGCATCAGGGAGCTGTTGCAGTAATGGCAACGAGAATGACGCAGCAGTCAAAACCATTTTGCGCGAGAAGGAGACCAAGCGACGTCGAATTTACCGCCAGAAGCTAAAAGACGAGCGAGACACGTTACAGGCCCAAGTCGTGGGGTTGACATTGGCGCTGGATAAGTTGAAACAAGCTGCACGGGATCGCAAGGTCATGCAAGAGAAGGCAGAACAACTGATGTATGGAGACAAATGCTACGCTGGCAAGTGGAAAACACTTGCTGTGTGGGAGTGGGAGTCGCTATGTCAGGCTCAGGATGAGCAGAAGCGCCTTCAAGCCGCCATCACCACCCACACAAAACTCGTCAAGGACCTCCAGAAAGTTATTTACAAGAGGATCACGAAGACCGACCATGAAAGTCCTATTCTATCCCAAATACCAACGATGGAACCTCCGGATGGTGTCATATATGACGCCTACATTCAAGAGTTGGACTTAAACTATACTCAAATCGATGCTGTGTACCGTTCCTTGGACATCAACTCGATGGCCCAGGATATAACGAATCTCGTGAAAATGAATCCGGCAGACGGTTGTATGAACGAATTACTACACGTGAATAAGAGGGTCCTTCCCTTTGCCTTCCTGTCGACGTGCCAAATGTTCTGGAATCTAGCAGGTCTGGCACACCGACAACTCGATCGAGTATCGTACGGAGATATGGAGGAACCGGAGAATACCATAGCATTCAAGTTTCGCATTTCAACTATGATGGACACAGGCGCCATTGTCTCGATGCGGAAACGTTTTGTTGCGCGCCGGTACTTCAAATCCGATTGCTTCGTGTATATCTGGAAAATCTTTGTCGAGGGTGAAGGAGTCTTTAAGGGATTGCATTCCGAAGAATCAGGTTGGTGTCGCCTTCAGCCGTCTGCTTCTCAGGTCAGTACTTCATTGGAGATGCTTGTTCGTCGGTCACCAATGTACTACCGCAGGGCTGAAAGGAAACAGACTGCAAAACACTTTGAAGACATTCTACGAGGCTCTGTCAATGAAGATCAACAGATTTTTATGCACGGTCTTGAGAAACTCAAGGTAGACAACGGTGGTGCATTTTGCTGTTGATGAAGCCAATTCACTGAATATGATACATCTTGTGCTACTAGCTTGAGTGCGTGGCTTCAACTTCATAGCTGTCGAATATACGTTGCGCATTTTAGACCGCCGACCTAGTGCTCCAAACACATTGATACATGATGTTCCGTCAAACTCTATGTGTTTTCTTTAAAAGATTTTTAACTAAAGTGCAAATGAGTTTTGGGCTTTTTGAAGCGTAAACATCTAAGCTAGATGTGTACTTAACCTTCTCTGTTACAAAGTCAACATTTCTTTTCAATTCGCACCACCGCATTTGTGTGGCCCATCTGATACTTTGTTAGCATTTCGTTTGACGTGAACATCCCAAAGTTATCAAGTGAGAACATATATTATTAGTGCTTGCTCGGTTGTTCTTTCAGCATCACTGATGCATTAGAACCCAACACAACAGGATATATATTATCAACATGAACTGTCGATGATGAGAAGGATCTAGAAATCAACGCACTGGATGATATCAAAAGCCGCATATATGCTATGTGAGCATACGTTTAGCACTCTAGCGCAATCGACGATTCCGGGAGAAGCTTTACAATGCCATATGCTGTTACGGAGTTTCGCCGTAGTTAATTCTCCAACAGCGAATCGTATTTTGTTGTCGTCTCCAACAAAATGTTCGTGTTAGCCTTAAGAACAACATATTGGATCACACGTATGTACCGTGTACACTAGAATAATTATTTCGAAAGAATCATGCATGAGTACACCAAATTCTGCCAAATACAGCAAAACAACATGATTTCCACTGAGAAATCGTTTTCGCGAACTCACATCTTGCGCAACTCTTTTTCCAAGCCCAATGCTATTTCCTGCGTTCTGGGATTCTTCCGTGCCGCAACAAGCATATTCTCCAGAGCGTCGTCGGTGTAGTAGACTCGGAGAACTGAAGCCATCGTCTCTTGCTTATCGAAGTTCTTTGTATTGAATGCTTTCAGGAAATTTTTCCACAGCTTGAAATCCGGACTCGACAGAAGATCATCCGCAACCTTGTCAAGATGCAAGAGATAGAAGGTACCATCGGGATGTTTCCCAAGACGGAGAACATCATCTGCTCCAGGTTTGTTCAATTTAAAGTGATAGAAAGCGTCACTAGGAGAAGTCCCTGTGCGAAGCCTATAGTCGAGTCGTTCGGCCTGCAATTGTTTGGCGAGTTGTACAGTCCTCGGGTTCTTCATCACACTCTCGCCTACGACTATCCATGCCAAGTCTAAATCTTGGTAATATCTGTGAAACGAATAATGTAAGCTCTCCTTCATGCTGGGATTGGCGCCGTTGAAGTCGCTGAAATAGCTGAGCCAGCTCTTGAAGAATGGGCTGCTGAAAACAGCTTCCTCGTTCTTATCAAGATCGAACAACTTAAAAACATCCGAGGGTGTTTTCTTACTGCTTAGCCAACCCTGAATCTGCTCATTCTGCAATTTGGAGGCGAGTTTCTCTGTGGTTGGAACCTTCTTTGCAGCTTCAAGCATATTAAGCAACACTTTGTCACCGTAGCCTACTGTCAAAATAGGACCCATTGTGGACAGGTGATACCGACGTCACCAGAAGAGCAGCCGACGGCGATGCAGGTCCGCGCCGCCGAGATCATTGACCTGACCGACGAGTGAAGAAAGTGAGGTTGAAGTGGATTACGGGCAGCCGGTGACTGAGAAGTACCGGTTGGTACTACGGCACTACGGGCACCGGGCAGAGGACGTTGAAGCTAACGGATACCAGAGAGGGTGGAAGATCGCGGGGAGGGACGACACGACAAGCGGAAAAGGGACCAGACTATATGAACCAGGAAGAAGACATCGACTAGCAACGGATGAACCAGAAAGGGGCCAGCAAGGAGCCGTTTAGCATGAATATCGAAGGGAGCAGCGGACACTATAGTAAAGATAGGATTAGCTACAGTGAGCAGTAGTTAGCGTTGGGGCCGCGGCCGCGACCCTACCGCTCAGTTGCAATTCTGCACGCTCAGGCAGAAGATAGCGGCTAAGAAACGTATTCCTGTGAGGTTCTGTGGCAATTCGGGCCAGCCTTACCCAACAGCAGCGGAGGTTTCTGGAAGGGCGGCTCCATTTCGACAGCAATACAGGCTGGTGGGGACCTTTTGGACTAATTGGCAAGGTAGGCATAGAGTTCAGCGGTTGCGGTGACGAAGGAGGGTGGGCAGAGTGGCGGGGATCACGGCTAGCATCCGTGCAAGTTGTGATGCGTATCGTTCGCGTCTCGACTATCGAATGCACCTGGAGTGAGTGAAAGGTGTCATTCAATCTGTATGTTACACGTTATATAATGGGAGTGCATGAGGACGGGCAACGGGACCCCCGTACCCTTAGCTGCCGGAAATGTCTTCTCTCTAGCCGTCTCTGTGGACAGAATATCCGCGGGTTGGTCACCGGTATCATGCTACTTCTAGCTCCGGCTCGTATGTCACCTGGCTCCCTTCGGTTGGACTCCATACGTGAAAGGACGGGTTGCCGATACCATCAAGACGTTATCCAATGGGCTCTGAGCTTTCACATATTTAGTCCAAGTGAGAAAGAGAGGACTCGTGAGTATGTCATCCACATGGACTTCAGCCGAGAACAGCTTGAAGACGCTGTCACGGTACTCCCACGGCGTCTTCATTTGTTCGGTCCTCAGTCTCGTGGCCAGTGCCTTTGTGGATGGGTCCTTTTTCGCCAATTCGAGCATGACGTAGGGCTGTTGAGCACCTTTGAGTCGCACCAAGGTTGGAATGATTGACTTTGCTTTTGTCGGGAATCTTGTTGCGAAATGACCCATGTATTCCACCCAAATGTTGAAAGACGGATTACCGAGATCTCTCATCCATCCAAGTCGAAGCAGGTTGAACAAATCGTCTGGAGATTTTTCTGCTTTCAGCCAGCCTTGGATCATAACATTCTGTAGCTTGGTAGCAATATCCTTGGTACTCGGTATTTGCCTCGCTGCAGCGAGCATCTTGACGAGAGTCTCCTCTGGGATACCTTCCAGCTTCGCCCAAATATACGTACTGGGGTCTTGGTACGAACTCTCTTCTTGTTAACATAGTGAACCCATGCCGGAAACAAAGGATTCTCGAACAGTTTATCCGCTGCTTGCACGCGCTTGATCGTTTCAAAAACCAGGTCTGGGGATTGTTTATCTTTGGCCCACTGCTTCAGTGTTTTCTGGGTGGTTTCCTGGGTGGTTTCCTGGGCGGATTTTGACATTGTTAACCAAGATTTGACCTTATCGGTGATGCCTCTCTCTTCGTCTTTCTCGTAGTGCGAGTTGTCGAGTGTCAGATGAGTAGGTTTCTCCAACGTGGGGCTCAAATTCGTTGAGTTAGGCTTTACACGAACAATGACAAAGGCGATGGCTACGTACACCAACACGACGTAGCAGACCCCAGGCATAATTAAACACCTTCGTCGAAATCTGAAACTACGGGCTCGTTTCGAAGAATGGAAAGTGCACTGCGGCTGCGCTGAGTGAACAACCGAAACTTATTGCCATCAACCAATGATGATGCAGCATTTTTCTCTGCATCATCATAAGTAGCATGCCAATCTGCATCAAATTTTATGCTGTAGCAGTACATGCGCTGTCTACATGGAAAACAGATCCGCGTTTACTTGTCGTACGTTCAAGTTGAGGAGGTCACTTTTTTTTTCGCTTTTTGGCATACTTCTTTTTTATTTTAACTACGAAGTAGGTGCCTGCGTAGCGATAAATGCAGCATCGGTCCAGTTTATCTACCAAAAATCTACCCCAAATCATATTCGAACGAGTGGCCGTGATTATAATCTTTGGAAAAAGGTGAGTTAATTGACATTTGTGGAAAAACGATTATTAAATCTATGCAGCTCTATTCACAATCCATTTTCAGAAGCAATAAGAAAGAAAAAAAGTTGCACATATGAATTTTTTATACAAATGCTAATTAACTCACCTTTCTGAAAAGATGCATAATCATGCCCATCAGCCCTACGAAAAAGAACGAAGCATCATTCGGTCGCTCATTCTTCGTAGCCATTCGGAATACCGTATATAGCAGAAAAACGCACCCACCACAAGTCGGTATTTTAGTTTCGACGATTTTTGGAGGAAAATAACTTCTTAGGCTTTTTCTGAACCATCCACTCCATGGTCTCTTTGTCCAGCGCCTGGTACATCTCGTGTGCCAATTTAGAGACATGCGAGTCAGCATTAGCCAACCGAGTATCTATACTGAGTTTACTGCTCATTATAGTCTTGACCTTGTCGAAATCGAGCTCTCCAGCGATTTGTCCTTCCCAGAAGTAGTTGGTCCAGTACGCCTCCGCAATCTCATCTAGCGGCTTACAACTATCGAACATAGCGATTAGGCGGCGCCGTTCGTCCTCCTCACACCTACCCACCGGTATCCTGAATGGTCGGAAGAAAGCTGTCTCGAGTGCCGAAAGCTGACGACAATAGGCTTCATATTTCTCTATGAAGACTTGCTTTTCGTGGGCTGTAGACCCACGGAAATTTGGTGGAGAGGTAGCGTCGGCATCGTTTGCACGCGCTTTCCGACCGACGTCCCATCCGGATTCCTTGAGGGCCCTTTTCGTCCATCACCACTGGCATCCTCCATATCAATGTCCACGTCACTCGGTGTGGCATTGCGAATGAGCCATCAGTGTTGTAAGCAATCCATACACCATGACGACGTGGAGTAGCCGGGACCATTGCGGCGCAGGTCTGTCGTAACCGGAGGCGTCACTCAGCGTCTCCCGCTGCATTAGCAGGAGCAGGGTGGTTTTGGCCCGGTGGTGGGGCCTCTCTTGGTCAGGAATCGTGAACTTCCATAGTGACAAGGATCAATTAGGCCGCAATGGCTCGCCCAAACGCAGCGGGTTGACTTGCGCACTTGAGGGGTTTCAGGGATCGCTTACGCAGCAAAGGCTCCACTTGCACAGTCTGAGAGGGGCTTGCTCAGCAGATCATTGGCAGAGCGAAGGGTCGTTTGCATTTTGTGTACATGATAAAATCTGGCTTTGTTCTGTGTCCTCGGTGTTCACGGTCGAGGATCTGCGGGCGACGAAGTAAATTGCAAAGTGCGTACTTCTCTGTCCGGCGAATTTATGCGAGTATCACCCCTTGCTCGATTAGTATGTCAGTTTTTTGTAGTTTTCTGCCACAGACCAGTCTAAATTAAAGTACAGATCAAGGTAAATTGCCACGTATTTTTTTTTGCTGTTCGTTAACTCCGTTTAGTGCGTAAATAGCTGCGCAAGAGTCGTCTGGTTTTCAAAGCGTCAAAGCCTCTTTTTTTCCGTAACTCTGCTTGGAGATAGCGTTATTATATCTAAATATTACTACGGTATCGTGAGCAATTTGTGCACCTTCACATCACTTGCTGCATCTAACAACGCACCTACGTACTGTGGGGTTGCCGTTTGAAAACGAGGTTTTACTCGGCTGAAATGAATTTTCACCTATCCCTTCCTTGATTTTATCCAATCACTTCCGTGTAAAATTTAAGGCTATTTTTTAAGCTGCGTTTTACTTCTGATCAAGAATCTGCTGCGTTATGGCGCTTACATCTGCACGATACGTCTTCTCAGGGAGACTGAGTGCTGTTACTGCGGCTCCATTGCGGTAAGCAACTTTGCCAACACGGTGTGAACTACGGTGGATTTACAACTACAGAGCCAGGACAGCGTCCCAGCTCCAGTGCTGCGCACTGTACCTCTTCAGCTCCTTTACGGTAACTGTTGGCTGTAAGCCATTGCAAACTGCTATTATACTAACCTGCTAATACATACTCAAGGGTTTTGGCGGCGGCTGAACTTCACTTCTGAATTTCCAGTTGAGAGCACAGCCGCCGTCTTTTGTCCCTGCGGACTCTGAGTCCCGCACTTCACTAGTGTTTACCTTTTGCTTCCAATGGTGAGCACGCGCAGCGCACGTGCTCGCCATAACGAACCTCACATGGAAGCTTGATATCGTTCCCACCCTCGTGTTTGATAATGCGATGATCTGCCCCAGCTCGTCGACCGTAAAACGTCGCTCGCGCTGAGTGTACGGTTGACGAGCTGCTGTCATTGTGTCTGAATTTCGAGGCATCTTGTCCGCGGGCTGCACAAAAGTGAATCCAGTGCCGCGAGCCACTAATTGCTGCCGTCTACCAGTCATTTAGAGCAGAATATTTTTAGCCAATGAAAAGCATGTAACATTTTGAGTGAAGTACAACCTACTACACTTACAACTTTGTGTGAAGCTTGCATAGCAATTTTGGTGGAGAAGTAGCTACGATCTCAGTTGTGAGATACTATCTACCTCAACGGAGTGAATAATTTTTGATGCAGGAACAACTCGGAAACATCATAACCCCGATGCTCATGGTCGGGACTTTTTTCCGCGTGCGTTTTCGCGGTTTTCCGCGTGTGTTCAATCAGACCTTGGTTTTGCGCGTGTGGTTATCCGCGTGTCGTTTATGTGGATTTCCGCGTGTGGGTTTCCACGTGTGGTTTTTAGCGTGATGCATTGATTTTCCGCGTGTGATATAATCAGTGTTATTTTGTATAATCTATTATTTCTTTGCTTCTATTTTAAAAACGTCCCTGTTAGTTTCACTTCTAGCGACCTCGGCTACGATCTTACTGATGGTTCACCTCCTCTACTAAACCTCAAGCGAGATGCAATCCTCAGACGACTCTGACGAGTTTGCTGGCGAAAGTGATTCATCCTATGAGTTTGACATCGCATTCTCCCCTTTACGACAGAGTGATAACGATGAAGATGACGATACCAGCCCATTAGTACCACCTGCGTCACCCCCTCCAACAGTTCTTTCTAAACCAATTGACTGGAATGAAACGTCGGTTTTAGGAACCTTCACATCTCGACAAGAAGCTAGAACTCATTTGGATACATCAGAGAGCTCCCGATTTAAGCACAAACACAACTACAAAACGAGGGATCACACAATTATCCAATACGACTGTAGCTCACACGAACACTGCGGACGGAAGGCGCGTATCCTCGTCTCGAAGATAAACCCTGGAGAATTTACACTTAAAGTGGCTGGGGAACACACAATTGCTGTTGCAGATCAACCACGCACCGGCATTGACAAAAGATTTAAAGTGGAGTGCGACAATTTATTGTTAGGTGGAGCTACACCCGCAAGATGCCTAGTACTGCTCAGAGAACGCTATGTCAATCAACCCGATCTTAAAAAGTTGCTTCCTGAAGTAGAACAGCTTTGAAACCGTAGCTCTGTGCTAAAAGACAAGGGCAGGTTCGACATCAAGACACTTGTAGAGGTTTTGGTTTGGGCGTCTCCGAAGATGTGCGACCCTAAAGAGGAGTTTTTACGGAAGGGAGAAGAAGCCACAACCGATGGTTTTTTTTTCAGCTTCCCTCCGCCTATCAAGATGAGCTCATTGTTCTTCATACCTTTCAAGAGAAACTTTCCGACGACGAGGTGTCTTTAGGGATTCTTTTTACCAGTCGTCGCCTTTTCCGCAATTTACTATTTGCACGAAAAGGCCATCGCCATCATGGCATCGTTGTTTCAGTGGACGGCACTTACCGTCTACATCACGGCGGTTGGACACTAGTTCCTTTCGGTACAATTGGTGTGATCTATGACTCTCGCCATGGATATTCTCACAGATTTTTTCCTATTGCATACTTATTTGTGCGTTCGGAGACGACTAAATCCTACGACGAACTCTTCAAAGTTATTCGAAACAAGTGCGTTGACTTCCTCGGCTGGAGCCTCAAAGTTCAATTTGGTACGCTCGATCACGCTGACTGTATTGCCGCTGCTTTTAAAATGAACTGGCCAAATATCGTTTTGCTAAGCTGTTGGCCTCATCTTAGTACCAACCTTACCAAAAAAATGGCACTTCTGAAGGACAGGACCAAAAACGAAGTCAATATTCGCAACCAGGTCAACTGCCTACAAAAGTCTCAATGCCCAATTCAGAGCTCTATGCACTTTAGTGATCAAAAATTGGATCGAACTTGGCGAGTTGGATATAGCCCAATGGTTTAAGGAAGAATACCTTGCAGCTGATTGGAAACTATGGTACTATTCTGCGAGCAAGGCCCCAGGAATTACTCCCAACCAGAATCCTATTGAAGCTCACAATCGCGATATTAAGCGTGTCGTTGGCCCAGAAATCAACGCTTCAACAGAGGTCGTACTCAACTCGTCTTTACCGCGAATACTGCCCTACTTCGGTTCCACTCGCGATAGCAAAGGCGTACCCATAATTAAACCGTATTTGGCTGGGCCTGTCTCGATAAAGGCAGCTAGGAAAGCTATGCTGCTAGTAGGGGAAGGAAATTACCGAAAAGTGGAAAGGAATAGCTCCGTTACAGGAGTGCTGTTCAACTCTCGCAAATACATGATTGGGGATGAAAGCGTCGAAGCTACACGAGTCGATGAAAGCCGAGCAGCCATTTTTAGAGCCTCATTAAGAGGCAGGCTTCAAAGGCCTGAGATTGTTGAAAACATGGAGCCACACTATCTGTCCCTGCATATAGTTCGCGTCTTAACGGATCTTCCGTTCACACACAGCTGGGCTTCACCGAATTGGCCCGAAACTGAGGTTTGTATTTCTCAATTGCTTGTTATCACCGTTCATTTCCGTATTGACTCCTTAATGCAGGTTCTGAGGGTTCGCACTAAGTATCAATGCGACTGTAAGGCATTTTTCGTCTCGGGGTGGCTGTGCTCCCACATATTGGCAACTCTGAAGCTCCTTGACGGCTTCAACTTGAAGGTCTTACTGAGTTCAATACCAGCGCGTAAGCCTCCGGGTCGCCCACGCAAAGTGCCAAAAGCAAGACAACACGACACGCCCAATACAGGCCAGTTCGCAGTCCCTAAACTGTTGGAAAAATTGGCACGCAGGCCTGGGTTTCCAACTAATTGGAAGGTGCTTGTTCCGCTCGATATAAATGACGACGATGGCATCACAACAAAGAATTTTGACGGAATCGTGCGACCATGGTTCGCCAAAGACGGTAAATACTACTGGAAAATCGAATTTGCGGGTGCCGACCTCGACGTTGAGCCGTACGACATACAGGAGTTAGCGCATGTGCTGAACCACACCGCCAGGTCCGGTTATGCGTTTGTGTGAGCTTAACAGTCGACACAAAAGATCACCAACGCAGTCTATATATTGTTTTTTTAACAAATGCCACACCTTTAGTTTACAAGTTTTTTTCCGCCATCATTATCCGTATGATTAACATTGTTAAAGTAACAATTAAGTAGTATCACACGTCAAAAAATTATCACACGCCAAAAATCTCACAACCACACGTTCTAAACACAGTACACGCGTATAACAACGGGTCACGCGAAAAGCCATGCCACACGCTAAAAATCTTGCCACACGCGGAAAACCACGAAAGTACACGCGGAAAAAATTCGTACCCGATGCTCATCATCTGGGTAGCATCTGGGATGACCATTGCCCAGAACACTCACACTCACTAACGTTTAATGGCTACATATGTGCCAACACCCCTCTTAAATCCCCTCTCTGTCTCAAAAAGAGCTAGATTTATGAGCAGTTACTAAACGCTACAATTTGCCTGAAAGCACGAATAGTTGCAGCGTTTAAGAAACGTTATAGGTGCCGCCAAATTCCACACGTGCTGGACAATATAAAAGCCGACTTAGAGACCTACTATAGTATTCTTAAATTAAAAATCCAGATCCTGAATCTGGATTAAAATCCAGACGGTGACTGACGCGACTTTAGTATACTATACGTTCAGCGACTTTAATATTCTATATGTTCAAGATGCGGAACACGCGTTGGGGTCGAGTTGATCATCTCCAAGCAGCATCTTTTCCAGCATCCGCATCATCTCATCGACCTCCTCCTCTCCTGTCTTTGCAACCACTTTGGCAAACCGATCTGTATCCACTCTGGTGCTTGCTGTAGCTCCGATACTCATGGGTATGAATCGTACGTAGCTCTCTAACACCGTAGAAGGACATTTGCCAATCTGTTGTGGGCGCACAACAAGCCACCCAGTTTCGTCTGTGTGATATCCCGATAAATCGTCTTGGCCCTCTGTGAGAGAACGCCACACGAACACCACACGATCAGTCTTTTCAACCTTCCCCACCGCCGCGTAGACTTTCAGCTCAGCAACTTCCCCTCTCTCAAGTGGACACTTGACGTTGTACGTCACTGTAGCTACATCCTTCGGTTCTTGATCCTGTTGGTTATAACGAATCATGTCTGCATCTGTCATCATCAGCAACGATATCGCACGACTGGTGTCTTCGAACGCAAAAGGGATCGTCGTCGAGTCGGCGCTGTCGAACAACTCTACACCTTGTTTCGTTCTTCTTGTCGGCTTGTACGTCAACCTCGTTGACATTTTAAAGCTTACTTCTCGCATAACCTGGTCTGTCTGAGCGTAAATCGCGTCCAATTCACTCACAAAAGTCTTAAACAACACAGAACCATCGGCATGGCCTCCGTCAGCCTCCCCATACAGCATATTCTTCTCCTCCAGCACATAAGGTCGTTGTAGCAGTGCCTTCATCTGATGGATCATCCTCGCTCGGCCGACCACTGCAGCTCTCAGTTGTCTCTGAGTCTGCTCAGCCTCCAGACGCTTTTCCTTCTGCCTCGTAGCGATGGATCTCCACACACTCAGCGACATTCTGTCCACATACCTCATCTTCTCAGCCTCTTGAGCGCTTTGTAGCCTGCTTAACTCACCCGAGAGCTCTATTTCCTGACTTTCTAGCGTCTTCTTCTCGTCTTTGAGCTTCTGTCGGTACTTCAGTCGGCGCTTGGCAGCCTGAACATTTCGATACGCACGTCTATCTTCAGCCGGCATTGCGTCCGTCTTGGGTGTATATTTGTGGTCACTAGTGATGGTAACTTCGTCGGAACTTGATAGAGTATTGGAAGCTATTTGTTCCTGTGCCGTGGTCTCGAGGGACGAGAGCAGCGTCTCCGTCTCCGCTATGAGCTGGTGCGTGTCCAGGACCAGCACATCGTCACTGAAGGACGGCGGCGCCTTCCGTTGTCGGTCTATTGATGAAGCTGACGCGCTGCAGTCCGCCAAGAAACCTGTCACGTCGGCCAGCAGCGCGGCGTCGACTTGCTCCTCTTGCAGCATGTGGAAACTTGATGAGGCAGAGTGATGGTCTCTACTTTCCGCTGCTGCAAAATTCGGTCTGACAGACACTTCTCCGTTATTTTCGGTGTGAATTTAACCCACCTGTTTTGTGTCACCATGAAGTAGTCCGTTGTGTGTTACTTCACAAGAGTTACAAGGGTTACTTTTTCAAGTGGTCTTTGAAGTAGGTAGGTCAGATTGCAGCATGAGGAGGGAAGAATCCGAGGCTGTGGCTGCGTTCCTGGCGGACGTCTCGAGTTTCCTGGACGACGAGGCGGGTCACCAAGTGTCCACTTCAGCCGTTACTTCAGCTAGCCATTTGTCAAATTCTGCTTCAAATGAAGCGTTCGCCAATCACGTCACTTACGTCATAACCCACACTGTTCGACCGCAAGAAAGCGACAACCCAGGAGACGATGCGGAGCGTAAACGCGCTCTGCGTAACTTACAGACTGGGAAACGTCGAGACGCATACCGTAAGCGACTGAAGAAGGAGTGGCAGACTTTGCGATGTGAGGAGATGAAGCTGACTGAGAGGCTCAAACAAATGCAATACAGACGCAAGAGAGACCAGGGTGGGATGGCTCATTCCAGGTGGAGAGCAATGGCTTTGCGTCAACTGGAAGGCCGGAGAATTGCAGAAGCGCAACAGGAGAGGTTGAACACAGCAGTGAAGCGACGACGGGAGCTGATCCAAGACGTGGAGGACATGATACGGAAACGGTTAAAAGAGACGGAGCAGGCAAATGGAGAAAACTCCTGCCAATACAAGAAAACTGGGCGAGAATTTGTTGACGAACGGTTTCTTGAAGCTTATTTAGACGAACTTGACGCGATTTACGCCAGGACGGATGCTGTGTTTCAGTGTTGCGAGACCGCGCCAAAGATCGGACCGTACTTGAACTCTACACCCCTGAAGAAGAGAGATGGAGACACCGAGTACTTTGAAAATGTAGGTGTATTGCACGTGCCATTCGACTTCAAACGAACGTGGTTAGCCGTGTGGGAGATTACACATCAGTCGTACCGACAACTCGACAGAGAAGAGTTTAATGGGGTGGATGATGAGAACACGATTGCCACGAGATTTTGGGTCAAGTGTAGACTTCAAACTGGAGGATTTGTCTCGATTTGGATACATTTTGTGGCTCGACGATATATCGAAGAAGACCGTGCAGTGATCATCTGGAGAGAACTATGGGAGGGCGAGGGGGAGTTCCTTGGAATGCAATCAGACGAAACGGGGTGGTGTGTTATCCAGTCAAGAGAATGCAGAGACGATAATTTTGATAAAGCTGGCAAGTTTGCTACCATCAAGACTTGTGTGCGGTTTGTCCCGATGCATTTCAGTCCAAATGTATCGTGCCACCCCGATTTTGCAAAGTTCACGGAAGTTCTGATCACGTCAGGAAAAGAAGATAATCTCCAAGTCGAGCAGATGATGGAGCGTCTGCAGTTGAGTGATGCTGTGGATGTAGTGGCCTTGGGAAGCCCGACTGACAGCATATAGTTGTTTTTATTCACACTGACGCGTTGAGGCCAGTAGAAAATGTTAACATTTGGATTTGCACCAAATTTGAAGTTGTATTACTCTACCAGGCGTTGTTCAATACTTCGAAGTAATAGAACAGCAACAAATATTCTATTGCTTCAGAAGTAGAAAACCTATTTAATTTCAAAATTCACTTTTTCCACGTGAACGGATTAACGCCGTTGTTTTTCTTTCATGAGCGTAAGTCTTCAAGAAGTAAAGAGTCCATCATTCGTGCAATCTCGGCACCGTCTTCCTCGACTGAAGACACGACAAACTTAGTAAACTGGTATCCACCCACGTCATTGCTTGGTGTATTCGAGACATCCATTGGGATAAACCGAACAAAAGTCTGCATGACGACCCGCAACAGCGGTTCGTCCGAGTCATTCGGACGCACAATACACCATCCAGTTTCATCCGAATGAATCCCACTAAACTCTCCTTCGCCCTCAGACAGCGCTCGCCACACAACAACCATTCGTTTTTTCTCTAAAATTCTGCGCATTACACAGTGCACAATCATTTGCACTGATTCTCCAGACTCTCTCGCTACTTGCACGTGCGACTTGACTGCCAACGTATTTTCTGGGTCAGTCACGTTGTAGTGATACCAGTCTCTCTGTCGATACAAGCGAGTCATGGACTGCCACATCGTGTCACACGTCTGCTCGAAGCTGAAGGGGATCAGTAATACGTCCAAGTTGTCAATATATTCCACGTCTCCCTCTCGTTTTCGGTGTGGTCCCAATCTGTACGACATTGTCGGCTTCTCCTCAGCTCCGCAAGCTTGAAAAACCTCATCAGTTCGCGGATACATGACCTCCAAATCATCTAAAAATTCATCAAAGAGTACTGTATCGTCCGCATTGAGTTTGAGGAGACTCCGCTTGTCCATCTCAATGTTTGCTGTATGCTTTGACCCTTTCATGTCGTCTCGTATCATCCGAGCGATCTCCTCGATCGCTTTAGCTCGATTCTCTACGGCATTTTGCAGTCGCCGTTGCTGCTCTTCAGCTACCAATCGGCCCTCCTTCTGTCTAATGGCGATTGCTCTCCACGTGGACGTTGCTAACGTTTTATCCCCAAGCGCTTTCGCTCGCTTTCGAGCCCGCTGAAGCTCTTCCAACTCCTCCGATAGAAGTTTCTCTTCATCCTCTAACGTTTCTCGCTCGCTTCGGAGCTTCTTCCGGTACTTGAGTCGCCTCTTGGCCGCTTGTGCGTTTTTCATCTTCCTCACTCGCTCAACCGTTGAAAGCTCTGCATGAGCAGGTTCGGTAGGATATTCGTTTGAAGAAAGTAGCAGGGCCTCAGTCTCCACTAAGAGCTGGTCACTGTCCAATAAGAGATTGCTAGCGAGGTCTGGCTCATGAATCTCTATCGGCGCCTCATAGTCGTCCAGGAAACCCGTCAATTCGGCTAGGAAGGCGGCGTCGTCCTGGTTGATCATCGCTGTGGAACAATTGCATTTATGTATTTTACTAAAGTAACTTTAAACTGACTTCATCGTAACTTCTGATTCCGAGTCTGAACCAGAATAAATTTCATTAAATTGTTAAGTTGCAACAAGCACGAAATATGTCAATGTTGCACGAACATGTGTAGGATGAACCGACTTCCCTGCATTTTCGGGCTGACACAAAATAAAGCCAGGTGTAGGGGAATCACATTAAGTACGTTCACGCCAAGTACGACGAGTTCAGTCAGCTAAAGGCGATTCACAGGCGCCAGGAAATGCGCTGTAGAGGCCTGTAGGCCGAGAAAATCGACTTTTTCTTATCTAGCACTATTATGGGCTTGGAGCAGTGTGCGTTTCAGCCCGCAAATTCATGAATGAGACCCGATGCGTGGGAAGGGGGGGGGTCATTAATAGGGGCGGCTATCTTTCAAATAATGACAAACTCAACTCATAATTGTGGCGTATTCTCTACAGCCAACCGTTTTAAAACCTTAGTAAGGTTTTTAGCTGGCCAATAGGAGAGCGTCACGAATAAACACCCTGCCGACAGGGAACCTAGCTTCTCAGTCTTCCTTTTTGGGGCCGAAACCCTCAGATCTCTAGTGGCCCCCGCCCACCCAACTCCGACGACGAAGCTCACAGGTTGAGCGCAGGACTTGTCCTGAGGAGCGGGATCGATACCCGCCGTACCCAAGCAACTTTGGGTGGAGGCCTGGATACGGCAAGCGCAGTGAGAAGCTGGAGGCGTGCGGTGTGCAGTGTGTTTGTGCGCGTGTGGGTGGTAATAGCGATGTGGGAAGGGCGGCGTGCTTACGGTAAGCTATCAGTGTCGGCGGTGGTGGATGTGAGGCTATGAAATATATGTATTTGATGCATGGATCTCTGTGTGTTTTACACGTGGCCTGCTATGGCAAGTATGTCTTGTGTGTCGACAGGAGCGGGGTCTTCAATGCGGTCGATGGCGAGGAAACGCTTGTACGTGGCGATGCGCTCGTCCGAGGCTCCCGACTTGTGCAGTGGGCGCAGTACACGCAGAACGCTTCCGGCGCCCTTCGCGTTGGTGCCTCGTTCCTTCAAGAACGCGAGAACAGCGTCTTCAGCGCGGCGACCGGTATCGAGGACTTGATCTTTGTAGTCCTCCGCCTTAGCACCAAGAGCAAAGGCCTGAGTAAGGAAGAGCTTCATGAAGGCGACGACGTGGCGGAACTCCGACTTCTTCTGGCGATCGCTTGAGTCCCAGACGCGAGGCACCCTGGTGTACCATTTGTACCAAGTGGAAGACAGGTTTGTAGCTTGCTTCTTTCTGCGTTTTGGTTTCCGTGCTTGGTCTGACGATGCTTGAACTTGTTCTTGTTCAGTAGTGACGTGTACCCTCTTTGGTTTTAGCTGCGCCGCTTCGACAATCGCTAGACGCGCCGCCATGACCTTGTTCAAAGCGATAAGCTCATCAATAACAGCTAGAAGGTGATCATGCTCTCGACACGTGTGCGTCTTTTTTCGGTCTGCTCTTGTTCTTGTGCAGGGATTGCAGCTTCCTCATTCAGCGCCTTGGACCATGCGAGCAAGTAAGCGGTACAGATCTGAGCGGCGGTCAGGCACTCCTTCACGCGCGTGACGATAGGCGCTTCTGGTGCTAGCGCTTTGAGCTGCGGGAAGTATCGTACAAGGTAAGCTGTAAGTACGCTAAGCGCCTTGGTACTCACGTCGAGCCGTTGATCTTTTAGCCCTGTGCACGTGCTGAACAGGAGCTCCTGCAAACACCCAAGCCGCTCACGCTTCGTGTTGATCCTGTTCCGCGATGTCGATAACCGTGGGTGATGCGTCTGCATCCCATCCGCTCAGGACTCGTGCTACCTTGCGATCTTCACGTGCGGTGTTCGTGATGTAGGCGAACGCCTTGCTCGTCTTGGTCATGTCCCAAGCCCCGCGGTCGAAGATCCATTGGGCTGCTAGGTGGTCGTCACCGTTCGCGTGCTGAGCTCCGCCGCGGCGAAAAGAGTGGGAGGTAAGGTCGGCAGCAAGTCCTGCTGGCTCGGCGACGCGCTTGAGCATCCGGTTGACGTGGTCCTGCATACTGTTCTCACCCCGTTTCACATCTCCTCCCCTGGGCTTCTTCTGCGACGGGACGCTGATAACCGTGGTGTATGTGCTCGCGGGTGGCGACGTGGGAGTGGGGCTCGCAGTGGCATCGACTGTTGAGTCGACAGTGGCGGCTGTCGCGGTGGTCGGTACAACGGCGACTTGGAGCGAGGCAGGTTCAGCCGCAAGCAAGTCGTGTAGTGGCTTGTGGATTCAGTGCTGGCAGGTGTCCAAGCAGGGAGGCGCATGGGGCTTCTTGGGTAGCTAAGGCTACCGACATCGTGAGCAAGGGACACGACAAGAAGTCATCTTCGTCAGACACCAGGGTGAGACCCTGCTCCTCGGCCGTCTTGACCCGCAGCAGCCGCAGGTAGAAGGCACCGTCGGCGGACACTGAGACGTGCTGCTTCTGGGCGTAGTCAAGATCCGAAGAACGCCCGAAGCAGTGCCACATCAGGCATGTTAGGGCAGCATCCTGGTAGTCTGCATCGAGTCGGGCGGTGCTGTAGACATAACGAACTAAAGCTTTTAAATCATCTTTCGTACAGGGAGGAGCCTTATTAGTTAGTCCACCATTTGCACGTTTTCAGCAGTGCTTATCTAGCGTTTTACCTTGCTTTAACAATATCAATTCAGTAGCCACACGTAAGTGCGGGTACGAGTCCAATAGCCAAAGTTTCACATTCCTATAGTACGAAGACGCAGTGTTGCGTGCTAGTTTACCGTTCTTACCTTCATTTGTAGCAAGATAATAGCCGAATCGATCCATTGCTGCGGCAAGACGTTTGCCAGAATCGTCTTTGAGAATGCTAACGTGGACAAATTCCATACTAACACAAGCTCCAGCATTCGCTTGAACGCGCTGATAGCGATGGCGCGTGCCTTTTGCGTGTTTGTTGGTACAAAAGCTGAGAGGCTCATGTGCGTGTCTTTTCTCTTTTTGAAAAGTGGTCAACGAATGGCTGTCTACCAACGTCCTTTTCACCTGTCCTACTTTAGGATAGGCCTAGTTGTAAGAACCGTTTGAATATATTCAGAACATTTTTTTGACTTCATGTTTGTATCGAGATTTACATATTTTGGCTGAGCTTCCGACAAATATTTGTCGGAAAGCGTCGGAAGCTGTACACCTAGCCCTAAACAAAATTATTGGCTGAAACTAAGGAGAGACAAGAAATGATAGGCTAATATTCACAATTGAGTAGCAACGGAGCAAATCTGTAGAACTATCTGTCGGAAATATCACTATATTCATCCATACCGAGTGTCAATGGAGTGCTATCGGAGGCTGACTCCACGGATGGCAACTATTCTGCTCTGCTGAAGGTGTATCCCTGATTTCGTTGCTTTATCAACTGGGATATGTCACCAGACTGTAAGAGCTCTTAATTACTAAAATAACTAGCGCATTGCTCTTGCAATTCCTCTGGACAGGATACCTTAGAGTTATGGATAGTAACAAATAGGAAATGATCATACAATTTCCTGCAAAACTACTACATGTACTACATGGCTAGTCTTCAGACGTATAGTCCTGCCATTTTGTTTATTATTCAGCTCTTTTGATTTCTGACAGCGCCTCGCCACTCGCCACTTCTACAGTACTAGACCGACGGATCACGTGTACATGTCGACACGTAATCATCATTACGTTCGCTCGTGCGTGCACTTTTTCTTCGTGTCTACAAGCGATCGTAGTGCCCCGATCACTCTTCAAGGTAAATAATAGCAGATTTTGTTAACATGTATGGTCTATAAGGCATCGACTTTGCTCAAGCTTTCTCCTGCAAATACGTTGCTGTATGGACGTCACTCAGCCAAATTGGCGTCGCGGCGGTCAGGTTATGTCAGTTCAACCAAGTGATCAGCTGTCTCCAATCACGAGATCACAAGCCATTTTGCCGACATTTACGCTCCGTGTCTTATCGTAATCAGATCCCTGATCACAAAAACAACATTTGCAGGCGGTTGGACGCCACTCCCAGTTTTACAAGTCACCGACAAGATGATCGGCTCAATCACGTCACACGCGTCTTTCTTGGCGGAGTTGGACGAATTCCTTAGCACCAACGCGTTGGACGTAGGTCCCAACACGACCGAGACGGAAGAAGTTGAGTGGTGTGCTAGTCAGCTTGATACAGACTTGTACGACGCCGGCTCAACGGACTCGTCCTCTTCGTCACATACTGATTCGAAGCCAATTCGTTCTCGAAAGCGAAATACGAAAAAAAAGGAAAATGCCGCTTTCAGAGCAAATGAGACGAAACGACGGCGTATGTATCGGCTACGGATGAAAAGCGAGCGTGATACGCTTCAGCACCAAGTGACTATGTTGACCGATCAAGTGGCCGAACTGACGCAACGCCTAATCAAGACAACCAACGCCACCAATATGGTGAGTTCTGCCTCAACTTGGAAGGCTCTCGCAAGATACCAGCGAGAAGAGCGACAGCAAGCTAGTGAGGAACAGAGGCAGCTAATAGTTGTTGTTAGTTCTCAAGCCGCACTCATCCAAGAGCTCAGAGCTATCGTGCTTAATCGTCTAGAGATCACTCCTACCATTGACGAGGGAGTTCTCGATGTCCGAGGAACGAATGTACGCAAGGATGAAATACTCTTTGGAGCGCAAATCTCGGAGCTAGAAACAAATTACGCACGAACAAATGCCGTTCTTCGAGCTGGTGGAGTGGATACAATGTCCGTTGGCCTTACGATGTCCACATTCAAGAACCCGAGCGACGATAGCATTAGGTACCTCCAATACCGAGGCAACATCCACACGTCGTTAAATTTTGAGCCAGCTTGCAAGAACTTCTGGAGTTTAGCCCACATCAGGCATCGCCGCCAAGATCGAGAGGTCTACGATCGAGCAAAGGAGCTCGACAACACGTTTGCCGTAAGATTTCGAGCCATCGCTCAACTACAAGGCGCGCCTGTGTCTCTTCTTCAGCGTTTGGTAGTTCGACGCTACGTTACCGTTGATTACATGGTACTTGTGTGGCGAGTGTTTGTTGAAGGTGAAGGTCTTTACTCCGGGATGCATGCAAGTGACTCGGGATGGTGCCGACTCCGACCAATAAAGAATGGGGTGAAAGATGGGACTGTGACGGAATTGTGTGTGCACCAGGTGCCAATGTACTTTGGATTGAATCCTAGTGGCGAAGAAATTGCCCGGTTTCACGAGGCAGTCATCCGGATTAGCAAGGAAAACGAAGAAAAGTTACTCAAAGGGCTAGAGATTTCATTTGACGAACAAGCCTGAAAGCGTATAGGTATTTTGAATACATGAAAGCAGGCAAGGAAAAAAAAATGAATTGGTTTATCCGCCCGATATGTATTGCAATCAAAAGGAGCGATTGCATGAAAGCTAGATATTACAATACCCAATTGGAGTGGAGGTTGCAATACTCAACTGCAGCACTGATCTACAAAAGTTGTTGCTATCCTCGCTCATCAGCGTGTGCCTCTCTGATGGCCTTGGCTACAAGGTTTACACCCGACAACAATCGGTTCGTGCTGAGGAACATGATCGCTTCGAACATGACGGGAGTCAATCTGAATCATCGGTCCGTGATGACATACTTGGCAGAGCTTAACAATCTCTCAATGGCCACAGATGTTCCCTTCAAGAAGTTCAAGTCCTCATTCGATGTTGTCTGCATCATTCTCAATCATTTGCGTTCTTGTAGTTCCTAATAGCAGTTCGTCGTCTCGCCTGAAATAAACCGCCGAGGCTCCTCTATATAGAGCGAGATGAGCTTGAAGTATTGTCGAAGTGAAGTTTTGCAATTGTAGATTGCAATGCCCACTTGCGTGATCCCCGCGGATCGCAATATTCAATTGCACTCGAAAGGCAATGCCTGCATGAAAGCCAGCTATTACATGGGATATGTATTTGAATGCAAGCAAGTTTTCTCTTATCTCACGAAACCATATAATAATAATAATAATAATAATAATAAAAGCATTCACTGTTCATAATTTATTGGCATCTGCTTTTCCACCACTTGCATCTTTGAATGAAGAGTGTGGTGAGTCTCGGAAAAAAAAACACCAAAATGGGGGAGCTGACACTCCCTTAACGTCTTTGCCTGGTGTATTAAGCAAAACACAAACTGTTACTCTCTCTCTATGCTACTACGCTCGGGCCAGCAAGCCTCTCAACCAGCCATTCACTCGAAGGTTGGCAGTGGCAACCCTGCCACTGCCGATCTGGAGATTGCCTTGCCGCCCACTGCCCGAGCTGTATGAGGCTATCCAACCTCTAAACCCACTACACAGAGTAACCGCAAATTGACCCACAGTGTGAACGCAGGCGACACTACAGTCGAATTTGCGAACCATCAGCATTTGTACCCAGGTGGAGTGGCAGGCGGACAAATTGTCGTCTTGATTTGAAACAAGCGAGAAGAAGGTGACTCTTGTGAGGTAAAGTATTCGCTGCATGCGTCGAAAAAGATACCCAATAATGTAGATAGGATTATAAGTCTGTAACCCATACTATTTTGAACAGAGGTTGATTTCAAACTGGTGGTTCGTCTGCATGGTAACATGTATGTTAGACACAACCCAAGCTTTAACTAAGATTGAGCCGCTTCGACTTATCCTTTCACTCCAGTATCACGAACTCACACGTTGAACAACGCCTTCTCCAAGGTTGAGGCTATATCCCGCGTACTGGGATCTTTTCGTGCCGCAGCCAGCATATTTTCTAGAGCGTCGTCGGTGTAGTAGGCTCGGAAAACCGCGCTCATGCTCGTTTGTTTGTCGGGGTACTTTGCGTTGAAATCGTCTAAGTACTGGGCCCAACGCTTGAAATCCGGACTCGAGAGAAGATCGTCCGACACCTTCTCAAGTGGCAGCAGATACTTGGACCGGTCAGGACGTTCTCGAAAGCGAATCACGTCATCTGCTCCCGGCTTAGTCAATATGAACACGTAGAAAGCGCTTTGGGGAGAGCTTTCGTTGAGCAACCAACGACTGTACCGTTCATCCTGCAACTGGTTCGCCAATTTTACAGTACTCGGGTTCGTCATCGCTTTCTCGACTATTCTGGCCACACCGTGATCTTGGTAATATCTGTGGATTGAAGTCAGCAAGCTCTCTTTCTTGTCGGGGTTCTTGTCGTTGAAGGTCTTGAGGTAGTTGAACCAAGTTGTGAACAGCGGAGTGCTGAAAACTTCATCTCCTGTCTTATCAAGATTAAGCGCCTTGAAGACATACGTGGGAGAGTGATTGCTGCTCAGCAATTTCTGAATCTGTTCAGCTTGCAATTTGGAGGCGAGTTTCTCTGTTGATTGGACCTTCTTCGCAGCTTCAAGCATACCAAAAACAGCATCATCGCCGTAGTGAGTTACAATTGGAGGGATCATGGACGCTTTGTTTGCTGGGTTCTTGGCATTAAATTCATCCACGTATTTGGTCCAAGCGATAAACTGCGGGTTCGTCAGTAGTTCATCCACTTTGGAGTCCACCATGAACATCTTAAAGACATAACCCGGGCTTTTACCGTCGGTCATCCACCTCTGAATTTGCTCCATCCTAAGTTTCCTGGCTAGTGCCTCGGTGGTGGAGGCCTTCTTCGCCATCTCGAGGACTCTTGACAGATCTATGTCGCTGTAAAGGGTCAATAAGGACGGGATCATCGATTCCTTCTTCGTAGGATTCTTTTCATTAAAGTCGTCCACGTACTTCACCCAAGTGTTAAATCCGAGGTAGCCAAAAACCGTGTTTTCAATCTTGTCGAAATGAGGCTCATTAAACCTGTCAAGCTGAAGCTGCTTATAAACCTCGCCTGGAGTCATTCCTTTGTCCTGCCACCTCTGGATCTGTCGAGCCTGTAACGTGCTAACTCTCCCGCCGAGGCTCTGCGCCGCACTGAATGTATGTGGGAATGTTTCGTCGGGGAAGTTTTGTTGGCCGGGTTTTGGTTTCACAAACAGAGATTTGATCTTCTTCGTCAGAGATTTAACCAGCGCTTTAATCTTATCAAGACCGAGAGTGCTACTGATGCCTCTCTCCTCGTTGTTCTCGTCTCTCAAGTTCCGATCGATCTGGTTCCCAGGGAGTGGGTGTGTGTAGGTTGGAGTATTTAGTTTCACCAACTTGGAGTTCGCAATCGTTGAGGCAGCGTCGACATTGAAGAAGTAGAAGAGCGCTGCTAGCACCAACACAATGCGGTAGAGCGAATTCATGATCGATAGTCCTTGGAAGTAAGGCTGGTAACTTGCGCAATGAGAAACTGGGCTGGTGGTACTGGATCAAGGCCTTACAGTTTATAGCGCCGGTAGCAGCTATGATTTGGTCACGTTGCGGCATGAATCTCACGGCATTTTTGTGACAAATCAAAACGCTAAACTCGTAATCACTATTTCATTCGCTCTGATCTGCCGCACCCACAATGTTGCAAGAGCGCTTGCCTAGTGGTCCATGTAAAAACCAGATTATATAATTCATGTTCATTGATTGGTAATTATTACTGAGTAAATCAGATGTTATTAATAATTTGTTGTTTGAGTCAGATTAAGGCTCACAATGGAACCCACTCCCGGTTTTCATATCATCGACAGGATGTTCTTATCATTCGCGTCGTTTCTGGCGGAGTTTGACGAATTCCTTAGCACCAACGCGCTGGAGGTACGACGTGCTGCGTACGACGAGCATCGACTACATCAACTTACGACATGATTTAATGCTCTCGAAACCGAACAACCACGAAAAAGGAAAGTGCTATTTTCAGAGCCAATGAAACGATGTGTATCAATGAAGTGAGCGAGATTCACTCCAGCCACCAGAAATATATCAAATCGGGTCATCGGTCCGTCTGGTCTTTTTGGGACTTCTACCCAAAATAAAACCAAAACGGTGCTTAATAACGTCAAATTTATAAACTTCTCAGCCATACTGATCGCCCTGATACGCTGCCCATATCTTGCGGTAGTTGAAGTGAAGGCAACTTATCTAGTTGCTGTATTACCACATTGTATAGATCTAGTGTCGTTGTATTATTGATTCTTAGAAGCGCAGCGCGTTATATATCTTTCATGGTAGAATTGTCCCTGTTTAAGAAGCTGTTCTCCACTTTGATGCCATTGTGCTGTATGTTATTCGACTGGTAACTAGAACCGTCGTAGGGACAACAACGACACCCTGTTAGGTTCGTAAAATGCTTACACACATTAGTTTAAAAAAGGTATTCTGTTCTTTAGCACCATGCCCAAAAACGATATACCCCGTTTCAAAATAGCACCAAATTCAACAAGACCCAAGGAGCACCAGACCTGCCTGTGATCCGAAAAAAAAAAGAAGTCCCCCCTGCACGAAATGACCGTGTTGATCGATCAATAGGTCGGACTGACGCGATGCCTTATCAGGAGGAAGGTGAACGAAATCAATACGTGAGCCCTGCTACAACTTGACGGTTGGTGTACGACGAATGAATGAAAGTGGGTAGCTACTAGAAGCGAAACCACGCAGAATAGGTGATGTTCTTCGAGCTGGCAGTCGGTCCTATGCTGTGGACCATCCATCTTCAACAATCTAATCGACGGTAGCATGAGATACTTCCAATATCAAAGCAAGATAGGCTAGTCACAGCTTTGACTAAGCCGTGAAGAACTTCAGGCATTCAATTACAAGGATTCTCCTTCAGCATTTGGTAGTTCGGTGATAATCACACGTATTCATGTGGTGAGAGTTTGTTGAAGGCGAAAGTCCTCACTCTGAGATACATGAAGTTTTGGCACTGAAAAAGAGGGAAATTGGAACTGTGCGTCACACATCTATGTACTTTGTTACCACTAGGAATAAAATTCCTAGTGGCGATGAAGTTAGTGTAACATATCAGTCATCAGGATCAACTCTATCCGGTCAATTCTTGAAAATGTGAGGCATTTTTTGACACGAAGAGTAGGAGAAAAAAAAAACCACTATATCATCAAATTCTCCATGTTTCTATCAGTAGCTTGAACTCCTCTCCACCAGATTTTGCGAGAGTATCCACAAACCGGTCTACTTTGCCGTCACATCCAGACGCAGAGCCAAACCCAATTGGCTCTACGCGCGAAGAGCTTTCTAAAATAGTGCAGCTCCGGCCAGTCTTTTCACTTGACGGGCGAACAACCATCCACGCCGTTTCTTTAGACTGCAATCCCTCAAACTGTCCAAGTCCCTCCGTCATGCTCCGCCACACAAACACCAAGCGGTCCTTTTCTCGGTATCTTTTGCCTGCAGCGTAGACTCTAAAAGACGCGCTCTCTTCGGCACTAAGCTGGTATTTTAGATGATACTTCAACGTTAGAGTGTCCTTCAAGTCCTGAACCGTAACGATCTCGTCTGGGTTGGTCAGCATCACTGTCGATATAACGTCAGCCGCTTGCTCAAACTTGTACGGAAAGACCATTCGATCCATAGTGTCAAAGTATACTGCACTCTTTTTCCGCTGACGTGTCAACTTGTACGGTGTCTGCGTCGCTGACTCAAAAGTCAAGCCGTTCATCACACTATTAATTTGTAGATATGCAGCGTCCACATCGTCCAGCACCGTTTTAAACAACGGAGATCCCCCAGACTCTAAATCCGTTTCTATCGACTCCCACTCAACGAGTCTGTTGCGTTGACTACCCTCCAGTAGTTTATCCAACAGCATGCTCATCCGGCGGATCAGTCTCGACCTTCCAACCACTTCCGCTCTTAACAGTTTCTGCTGTTGCTCCGCTTGCATTCGTCTTTCCAGTTGTCGAGCTGCAACTGCTCGCCAAGCGCCGAACATCAAATTGCTCGCATGTTTTGCCTTCCGTTTAGCTTGACTAGTCTGTAAACTGGTCAGTTGAGCAGACAGCTCAGTGGCTTGTTGTTTTAATACTTCCTTCTCATCTTTTAGCTTTTGACGATACCGCACTCGGCGCTGGGCTGCCAGAGCGTTTCGAATCTCACGCCGCTTTTCTGCGGAGAGTACGTCAGTACACTGAGATTCACTCCTGTCGTCCTCAGATGATTTGGCATTCGTTGACGCAGAACGAACGTCTTGTTGTCGCTGGTAGTAGTCTGAGTTCTTGTGTGAAGCAAGCAGATCCTCCGTCTCCGCTAACAGTTGATGGCTGGCCAGGAGAAGCTGGTCATCAACAGGTGTCGTAGCTTCCTCGTGACTGTGATTCCTGGTACCTTCAGGGGCGTCAGTCTGGTCTAGAAACGTTGCCACTTCGTCCAAGAAGGCGTCTACTGACTTCCCGCTCTCCATCTCAAGTGGAGTGTTAACCCTTCTAATCCGGCGATAATTCCGGAGTATCCGTTATTCTTAGCATATGAATTAACGTATGCCGGAAAATCAGTGCTTTATATCCTGTTTCAAGCCCTTGCGCATGACACGTGGTCAAATGAGTGTCAGTGATTGGATATTATGCAGGGATGTGCAGTTTAAGACCAGTCCAAAACACACTGTATTGGGATCTCCTTGCAAAACCGTTTCAACTATTGTAACGATGGGGCAGCAAAAACTACCATCACTCATCAAAAACGATTATGTATTTACTACCTCTGCTCGGAAAATAACGCACATTTCAAAAAAAAATTTCTCGAGAGCTCCGCCTCGTTTTTATTCGGGTATAAAGTGTGCAGAGGTCTATCTACTCGAGAACTAGCAGAGTCAAAAGAAAGCGTCAAAGTCCGAGGATGGTGGAGGGGCGCACGTCGTGGCCCTTTGGGGCACAACTTTGGCGAGAGTCGCCCGATAAAGAGCTGGATCGCAAGAAAGGGAATCAGGAAGTTCACCAGCACGCAGTAGTTTGTCCTTCTGGATGTGGCTCAAGCCAAATGCATTCCCGCCGTTGTGCCTCATGATGCTCTGCATGATAAGCTGGACGGAGAGGAACGTTTTGTTCAGCGTAGTGGTAGTAGTAGACGCAAACGCCCTCTCCACTTCCGATATGAGGTCTTCGGCTGTTCTTGGGACCGTCACCGACTGCAGCGACTGGATCGCGTTGAAAAAACCGCAATCAAGGACGTTTAGATCTGGACTCTGCGCAGGCCGGTTTCTAAAGAGAATGCTCCAGCCACCAGCACGCCCGGCCACCAGCACCTCGGGGTCATCAGGCAGCACATGTGGCTTGGCGTTATCTTGCTGCACCCAAATTGGGCTTACAAGAGGAACGCCCAGTCCCTCGTCCCTCACCCACTCCCACTTGGCTTTGATTGCGGGGATCACATCTTCAAGCAGCATGCGTCGGTAGACTTCACGGGTCATCGAAATGGGGCGCAGCTCCTCCACACCGGCATTACGATTAACGCTCCTTCACTGGGTCACATACTTCTCCACAACAGGCCACATCCCCACCTTGCCATCCCAGTTTCCACGTGGACGTGCTACTGCACACAGAAACATCACCATGAGAATATGCCTTTTGCTCTGCACAAACTGTAGCATCTTCACAGGGTGTCCCATCTTGACCGGCCAACAGATAGACCTTCTGTCCAATCTTCTTGACGTAGAACCACTTTTCGTCCACGTGGACGGTGTCGTACATCGGGGCGAAAACTGGCTGACGATCCGTAGACTGGGTTGCGTGGAGAAGACACCACTTTAGACGATCTGTCTTGTGCTTTTCGGTCAAAAGGGGGCGGGTTTGAGTCAGAGCGCGGCGTAGGTAGCCTTCTCTTTGCAGCTGCCGGATCATGTACGGAGTCAAGCCAGCAGCTTCTTCAATCGTCCTGTAGTTGTTTCTATCCGCAACACGAGTCTGGTGAATCCGCTTGCAGATTTCAGCCCGGTCCTTCTTCTTTCTTCCTCGCAGACTCGCTCGAGACGCAACAACTGCAGCAACTCGCTCGCCCATAGACCGGATCCCTCGTTTCCAGACTTGCGATACCACCCAGCGACTTATCTTAAATTGCTCCGCGATGATCTTGCGGTCTCCATGCCTCCGCTTTCCTCTGCTGCTCCGCAGGAGGAGTGTCTTCCATAGCGCTTGGCGCTCGGAGTTGTTAGCTTGCTTCATTCGAGCGGAGGGGGAGGATTCGAAAGTGATCTGTTTTGAAAATGGGCGGGAGATTCAAACGCATAAAATTTAGGAGGAATTGTGTACGCCAACATAAGTGCATTATTTTCCGAGCAGAGGTAGTACTTCTTACTCCTCGGTCTCAATCTCCTTTCGGCGCTTGTTCACAAATCGAATCTTGTCCTGGAGCGAAGGAGGGATGGTAGTCCCATTCTTCCAAGTTTGATGCGAGATCTCGTTGCAGGTGAGCGCGACCCCGTATCGAAGCCGCCGCGTCTTATTGCACAGCGTCACTCTACCTTTTTTAGCGCGCGAACACATAGCACAGAAGTAGCTAGTCGCAAAATTACGGACACCAACACCAGCGTAAGCTGAGCATACCTTACACAGCCACTGACGCCGCTTAGCACGGTTCAGCTCCTCTGTTCGCTCCAGCGTGTGATCGAGGGCAGCGTCTCCGTCACTAACCTAGCCATGTCGTCACTTGCGTTGAAATCCTCACTGGTTTGGTTTAGCATGTCCACGTGAAGTCGCCGTAGGAATGCTGCATGTGTTGGCATGGCTTGGTTCTTCTTCTTCATCGCTATTTTGTGCACGATGAATGCATTTATCATGGCAATGTCCACCAATCCTAGAAAAAATGCCTTGTAGTACTTACGCATTCGGATAGAGCGTTGAATCGAGTACCTTTGAAGCCGTAGCTGGTCGTGTAGGTCGACGCCCCCGATGGCTTCATGGTAGTCGCGCACCAAGCGAGGACAAGCTACTTGCGAAATGGAGCCGTCGCGTTCACGACGTGACACATGTGTCAGCTGCGTAGAGCACCCGGTTGCCAGGAATCTTACAGGTTTGTTGTCCATCCACGTCAAGGCCACGTACTCAGGGTGTCCCCTCCACAGTGCCAGACGATACGCCCCGCGAGGCATATGCTTAGGTCGTTTCTTCTGCTTGAACTCGATGCCAAGGCACCAGCCTTTCCTGTTCTTTCTGATAATCCCAACGTGAGCGTGGTCCATACTGAGAAGCTTGTGCGAGAGCGGCACCGACGTATAGAAGTTGTCCGTACAGATAAGTCGGCGAGTGGGTTGTCCTCGCAAAACTCGAGTAAGATTTTTGAGCACGGCTCGCTGTGCCACAGCTTCTTCATCTTTGTTTGCTTTTCCGCAGTAGATGTCTAACCTGAGCAAGTAGAACGAGCAATCCGGAATAAAATGACCATCTAAACCGGAACATCCCGCACACATTACGGATAATACGTTGTAAAAAAAACGGATTCCTCATACCTAGCGCAGTGCGCTGTGTCCGCACAGCAGGTCATGTAGAACTTGGTCCCCCACTTGTTTGGCTTCATCGGCATGTCCTGCCGCATCGGGTTACGCCGGTGACTCCTTGGAATCATGCCTTCATCAAAAGAAATGCGACCACCAAGACGATATCCACGGAAAAAAGGTCTTCTGAAGTGCCGAAAGCGTAGGCCGTATCTTGAAGGCTCGATCATAACTTTCCCCTTGCTTAGTGTTGTCGTTGAAGTGTATGTAACTCACAATGTCTTGGAATCGTTCTCTACTCAGAAACTGCCCAAACGTGCCTCTTGACAGCGCTCCCTCCACCTTCGTGATCCAGTGTCGACTAAGACTTTTTCGTCGAGGCTCCAGCGTACGCACAATGAGCCGTCCAATGAAACGAATGATCTCGTGTGGTTGGATAGGGTTCTTCCTCTTCAACTTTGTCTTGTATTCCTCAACTGTGTAGACCAGCGTTGATGGAACAGCTTCCCGTCGTTGACTTGCCCGCGTACTCATAGCTTGGGCTATTTCATCTACACATGCCAAGGGGTACGTGTTGGTTTCTTCTGCAATTTTGCGCCACAGCTCCTTGGGAAGAAAGAAGTAGAAAATTGCCAGCGGATTTGTTGCGTATGCCAGTGCTGATCGCGTGGGGCCAGAAGAGCCGTCGTATAGAGGCATGGGGTCTAGCTGTACTTGATGCGAGTCACAATCCAAGAACACATCCCATTCCTCAGCTTGAAGTCGATCCAATTCTGCTTCAGTGAGATTGAGATCCAACGGAATCTCGTCGTCATTGTTTATGTCTGCATCATCAGCTTCTGAGTCGTAAACTTCCTCACTGTTACTTTTTTCTTGATCGTGGCCGTCCTCGTCAAACAGAATAGACTCTTCATCACCTTCAGCGTCGGAGTTGAGTGACAGTTACCAGTCTTCCTCTCCAATATTCAGACCATCACGCTCACCAGCTGCAAAGAGGTGGCCGCGTCTCAGGGCATCGAGAAAATTGTCTGAATCAAATTCATCAAGTGGAACGGCGCTTATTATATCAGGAACATGGGTGGTAGCGAGGCAGCGTTCTCAGTCGACTCGTTCGGCACCACCGTAATAGGCTCTTCTGTGCTATCCTCATTGTCTTCACGAACCTCCTGAACAACAGCATCAGTGGTTTCCGGAAGATGTTCAGTGCCTTCCGTAACTGAGTAAAGTGGGTAATACGTAACAGCCAGTAAGTTAGACTTCAATGTCAATCTTTATTTTAATTATGCAGCAATAGATGTAGTATTAAAGCAACGTCCAACACACCCAGCCTACGTTTCTTAAAAAAATATATTATTTTGAAAAATGTTCGGTTTGCAACATCCAGTGTTCACGGGTACTCAATGCAGCTTCACTACTGCTATTTTGATAATCGTTTCCGTGCTTGCACATACTCGCTTATGCTGTACTGTACTGTCTGCCATGAGTTTGGAAATACACATCTAGGCATGCATCTGCGTTAGATGAGGTAAACAGCATGGTAATACGGAGTTGGGCCAGTGCTTGAGAAGTTCATTTTAAAAGCATTAAAAAAAATAAACAGTGCACAACAAACTAAGAATTTGTGAATAGTGTTGCAATAATGTGTGCGCAAAACATTGAGGCATGTATTAATAAGTTCGTGTCACGAAGAAAAAAAAAGTTCCAAGGGGTGGCTTGCCTTTGCGCCTCTTCCACCACAATCATCCGTTTCGACATCACACGCTGCAGCAGCAGTTGAACTGAATGGAGACGCTGCAAATTCAGTGACGGCAACTCCAGTAGTTGCTCACCATGCTCGCGTTTATGAAGACGCCCCAACTGCTTCAAACTCACCAACTACGGCCTCTGCAAAGATCTCGCCGAAGCCAAGAACTACTAGAAAGGAGACTCCCGCGGAGCGGCCTCCACCGTTTACCAGAATGACCGAGGCACCTGCCAAGCGACCAGCCCCAGCTACAACCTCCACATCGAAGCATCGTCGGGCTGGTAAGTGTTTCTTCGTTGTATGTGTTCTAAAAATGATTGATAGATATATCCGCAGTAGGTTTTTATCGATACATGTCGTTAGAGCAGACTTGTAAGCACGAAAGCTCGGCGGCTAAAGGTAATAAGCAAGAACACGGCTGCTAGATGTAAGACCTCAGAAGTTTACAAATAATATCGGATAGGACTTCAAGTATACTGTATGTAGGATGCATGTCGTAACTCAGGCACGCAGTGTTGAACCCGGGTTATTGGTTTATGATATGTAATATTCACTTCTAAACTGTATGCGCTGAGGCGGGAACAACGAAGGCTTTTTATTTGTTTATATGTGGATCGACCGAAAAAGGGTCAACTTTTTTGAATTGGTTAAAATGTAGTCTTTGACAGCATGCTGCTGCTCAAACGTGGAGGTGACACAGTTTTGCCGGTGAACTGGGCGAGAATGCAAGAGAGATGATCCTGTAAATTGAATCGATTGAAGGAGTGGATAAATTACGGGACAGCTACAAGCGGTAATGAGCGGGTGCGAGGAGCGTAAATGAAGTAAACCCGCACGCTATTTGCAGAGATAGGCTCGGCGTCAAGCTCATCAGCGAACGGACCCATTTGCACCTACGTTATTAACGAGTAATATGCGATTTCCACTTATTTTTCCTGATCCCTGGTTATGGTTCAATATAGGGCTCAAAACATAAATATAATAAAATAATTCGGGAATTGTATTGACGGAATAACGGATTATTGGGGTGCACCGCTATCCATAAAATATGATACTGTTTCAATAATAGTTTATTGGCCTTTTACTTGAATGAAATGCTCAGAAATCGAGGGTAAATGAGAATGTCAGTTTACACCATTTCCAGATCAAAATGAGAAATCCTCGGTTCAAAATGAAAATTCTCAGATCAAAACTAGATGACCTGTAACCAGTTATATATTCAACAACTGATTTCCTTTGAGATCTATTCACGAGTCAACCGGCATGTCTCGTAAGTCCAAAGCACGCACGTGAAATCTGAGTGTGTGAGCTGCCATGGAATCGCAAAGGTCTGGCGTGACTTTGGTTGACATGCTGAGCTTGGCGGTGCGCATCATGTAGTTAGTACGATACTCAGCTTTCGTCAGGCCTAGTCGGGAGCGCTTGGATCGGTCCAGGTTGGCCATTGGAAGGTGCGTGAGTTCTTTGCCTTCTACAGTTCTGGAATTATAGAAATCAATGAAACTCGATTTTGATTTGTAAATCATATTTGAAAGGTGTTTTGTTTGATCTGAGCATTTCCTGTTTTGAACCGATGAATTCTCATTTGATCTGAAAAAGGTGTACTAGACCTCATGATAGACAATTGTAACGAGGCAAATCATGGTAAACGATTCTTATTGGCCAGCGACAAAGCATTCCCTCCATTGCGACCATTCTCGCGCACCAAAGCATACTTTAATCAAGTCAAGGGAGCAACTAAACTGGCAAGAGCACCATTTCGCGGAATCACAATGAAAGTAATTATAAACGCTTTCAGCTGCAACAATTATCTCTTGAAACAATTTCTAATATCAGGCTGTTTCTCCACTTTTCAACGTAACCTGGCACGTGAATCGGATACTTTGAAATGATATTGATGGTTTAGTGATCGAGGCTGCTAAATTGACAATTAAGTAACCGCGGAAGGTTTTTTTTTTTAGAATATACAAATCGTCTGAAATCTTCTTTACAAGAATATACAACAAGGGACATAACCAGTTGTGGCCGCCAGATAGACGTTCTCTTTGTTTGATCAGAACTCGAGGCCGGTTGAGGCTACACAAAACATTCTGGCAGGTTTTAGAAGCTGAGATCCCCTACTTTTTTTTTTAATAATAATTAGCGGCCAACCAGTGATAATTGCGGAAACGTTTTCTGTCAAAGTTTGGGCCTAAAATTCGACCTCGATCAGTTGTAGGCAGCGTTTTATATTGATTTTAGTGTCAAATTAACAACTGGAGGACCATCAAAACGATCTCTGTTGTGTGGTTAGGATAACTTCAGAACTGAATTTATTTCCTTTTGTATAAGCAGTTGCAATATATAAGAATTGGAGTCAGAACCGACATTCACTCTCCCTCAAAAATACAACTCTCGTTCACCCGCGCAACGTCCAGATCCTCTCAAGCGCCTCACAACAAAGTACATGTTCAAGCTTTGAAGTGAATGTATTAAAGGTCAACATAAGCTACGATTTCAGCGGCGGTCGCGATCGGGCTTTTACTCGTTTCTACGTTCGGCATGGTGAATGCCAGTTGAGGAAGGAAGTTTGTTTATGGCTGTTGAAGGTTTGGATTGCGTCGGCTGTGGGGCGTGGTCAGCTTCTTCAAGCGCGCCGTGGGTCAGCAACCGACCGTTTACTTCGATGTGTTTTCTTTTGGGTGTTTTCTTGGGCGGAGTGCGTACTGTGAGAACGTCCTATTGAATGATTGACTTCAGTTGAATCCTCGACGCTAGATGAACGTGTTTTGGAGCTCCATTCTGTGTGTAGTTTAGAAGACGGACATTCATATTGAGAAGAAAAAGAGGAAGAATTCCACAGGCTCGGAACCCAGCTCTCACGTTTCATCCAGTGCTGCTCGTGCTCCATGACATACTTGCCAATTTGATGGCGATGGACTTGCTGATCGAGTAGCACCCATCTTTATCCTCTTCTACCAACTCCTTAATCAGGTTACACAGCTTCACCTTGAGTGTACCAAACACAGCCACGTCAAGTGGTTGCAGCAAACGAGTGGCATTCGGATGAAGGAGGATAAGCAATATGTCAAGACGTGCCGCTGCTTCAATGAAGTCTGTCGAGTAGTGAGAACTACAGCCATCTAGTACCAACAAAAGTGGCCTCTTGCTAAAGCTGGCACTGATGTAGAAAAAAATCCAGCCACTTTTTGAACAAATAGGAGTTGATGAATTCGTTCGGCGAGGTGGTTACCGCTGCGTTCGTGACACCACAGCCCTGCGATATGTCCCACGGGACAGTCTTTTCTAGAAGTATGTATGCAGGAGGGACTGCATACCCTGCAGCTCTGCCATAAGCGACGATTGAGAGGTGGAAGTTGACAGAAGGGTCCGCGCACCACACGTTAGTTAATTCCTGAACTGCCCCAACTGTGTTGTTCTTTTTCCGTGTCTGAAAAGCCGTCTCGTCCATATTGAATAGTATAGAGCTGTCTAAATCTAATTCAATAACCAGTTTAGCGATTGCGTTAAGCAGTGCTGTCAGGTCTTCGAAAAAAGCACAATTTCGCTTTATGGACAGTGTTTGGGCTACTCGAGTGGTCAACTTCGGGTGGCGGCAGACAAAACGAGGGTACTACCCACTGGATAGACTTAATCCAGTAACAAGCAGTGATATCTCGTTTGTATTCTTAAGAATCACGGATCAAACAACGGGTTGGCCAAGAAGCTGGCGAGCAACAATCCACTCAAATATATGGCGCTCTGCTTCCGGCGGAAGTCGTGGCTTTGTCCCGGGACGTCTAGGCTCTAATGACGCTAACTATTCTTGCTTCTTTATCCACTTTCAAATAGTCTGCTCGATAATACCCCACTTCATTAGCAACTGTAGCTACGGGAACACCACTTTGTACATCAGAGACGACAGCAATCTTGGTCTTGAGGGAGTGTGTTGAGTGGCCGTTGGCCATAGTGATCGCTTGTATGTGTAGTGGCAGAATGGGAAATGAGTGTGTAGCTCTTGTCCTAGACTATTAATCACCAGGAACGGATATAAATGATTCTGCAGAGCTCAATGCGCAGCTGCATTAACCCTTTTGGCGCGAAACATCTCGCCACAAATTTGTGAATTTAACTTGGGAGGTTTCGCACTTAGTGATTATGTGCCAATGAATGGATGCTATTTTGAATGAGACGATATAACTGATTAAAAATTTCGTCGGCCCTTAACTGATCGGCGGCCCTCAACTTGTTATTTCCTTTACTTATTATTTTTATTATGATTGGCTCCCTGTTAACGGAATAACAGATCCCCCCCCCCCCCCCCGCGCCTGAAATTTCAGGACGATTTTATATTTAATTGTCCGAGTCCTGGTTCAATACATAACCTCGTTATGCAGTTAATCTCTATATATTTCAAGTGCTTTGTTCAGCCTGTACCACAATTCAGAAACAGTAGATCACTGCGCTTGGCACTATCGTGACAGCAGGGTCTGAAAATGATTATGTGGACTATGATTTTAGACTATATGATACCCGTTGAACATGACAAGAAGCCAAAGAAGCAATCAACACTCTAGACGTAGGATGTTATGCCAGTCAATATTATGATTTTCGTCAAATTATAGTGACGGCTCCTCATAGAGGTGTTTGTCAAAGTTACCAATTTAGCAGTTTACACAGCAATAAACATGACTTAGAATTTGAAAATAGGTGATTATGTTGATTGATGAGTTTATGCTTCTATTTATTTTTAACTGTTTCACTACCAGAGAGTGTCGTGAGATCAGCCGGTCAAAGGAATCGGCCACTGTTGTTTCAATTCTCGCGAAAATCCTCAACGTGTGGGAAAACCTGTTGAACTTGCAGTTAGAAACAGCAACCAACTGGATCTGCAGGAGCCTGAGACCACAAGACTGCTACATATGCATACTGTACATCTATCCACTCAAGTAGTCCATAGGAGTACGATGTAGTGGCTAAAATAACAATCAGTTCTCAATTTTCCAACAAATCAACAAGTACAGCACTGCAAAGTCGAACGTCGACGGCCCTCATTCGCCCGAGTTCTTCAGTGCCAAGCTTCCTAAGTGCTACCATCCAATAGAGCTACACTCTATTGCGACAGAGAGGGACTGTCACAGTTATATAAGTTCGAAACATGCATCATGGTATTTTTCAAGATTAAATTCTAACAAGCACCAAAAGGCAATGGCGAAGCTAATATATGGAGTAGTTAACCTTCTTCTGTGTCGAGACTAGCACCCGGTACAAGCTTGTGAAGATGTTCTATATACATAGCTTGCATGTTAACGGTAGCCTGGAGCAGCTGACGCTCAGATAAAAGACGCTTTTCCTTTTCGTCCAGTGTCTCCGAATACATGCACGACTCGATTGACGGTACTGTTGCTGAGATCGGGGCTCGCCTTCTTCTAAAGGCCTCCTTGAGTTGCTCCAATTCTCTTGACAACTTCTCGACCTCATTCTCCAGCATTTCGCGCTCTACACGTAGCCGTTGCCTATAACGGCGTTGTCGGTTCCTCTCCGTCTCCTGCCTCCGCCGCTTCTTGCTACCAAGTGACGACGTGTTCTTTTCATCGGATTTATTCGCGTAGTCAGCATTTTGGGCAACTGGGGGCGGAAGCGAAGACCACAAGGTGGGTATTAACGAGCTGTCGATTTCTTGGTAGGAATCAAGCAACGAGGTAGTCTTGAACGATGGGCTTGTAACAGTCATTCCATATAGTTCCAAGAAGTCGTCCATTTCGCCCGATATCATGGAATCCGCCATGGTTAATACGAAGAGTTGAGCGCGTCTCGGAGAGTGTGATTTCAATTGTGAGTCTCCCTCTGGCTGAACTCAGTCACTCTTCGTCTCTCCTCTTTTTCACTGACAGCAAAAGTGAGTGAGACATCCATTTTAACTTGATATGATAACGGATGGCCTCGCAGATCTCCACCGGCTATCGTTCCCTTTTGAAGTTGGTAGGAAAGAAGGAGTAAGGAACGTACACTTTCGATTTAACGTCTGATTTGCAGCCTCTGATCACTAAGTTGGTGTTATCTCGGGAATGAGGTAGGCTTATTTTTTTGCTGCGTGAAAGACCATTTTTACGTCGTTCACTTTGCTGTCAATAGTATCTTGATGTCCGATACATGACTTTATCCTTCGATACAATATAAGGAAGACGTGGCAGCATTGTTCGTTACTTCCTTTTTCTTTACTGAACGCGTGGGGTGCGGCATACCTTCTAGTCTGAGCGTGAGCTTTTGCCGATGCTTGGAGAAAACGGATAAACTACCACCCAGTGTTAGGATTGTTCTTGTAAAGTGTAACCTTTACATAATGATCAAGGATAAGCTGCAACGTGTCTCCAGGAAAGACAGAAAACCTAGCCTTTATAATCACAATATGACGGCAAGGGTAGTTTATAACTTCTCTCCACCAATCCATACTAGTAAGGTACGGAGCAGATACCTCTAGCAAATGTTGCTTCCACAGATGGATTACGCCTAGATAGCTGACTACAACGAAGCAGGTTAGCGAACCACGTACCCAGTATAAGTGTTTGATTTACTGGGCAGTTGAGATTATTAGTACTTTAAATAGGTGCGTCACGACTGCCTTTGTGAAGTTACGAAGGAATAAAGTAGGCATGCAATCATATCGTATTGAAAACCACGAAATTGCGGTCATCGTAAGCACGTTGTTGTCATTTTTCCACCCATGGCTTCTGTTGTACGCGACCAGTGCTTACGTACTCTAGTACTTCGTGTGACTAATCAGCTGTACTGTATCACTGTTTTAGGACGAGCCAGTAAAGATGCATCGTCTCAAACAGCACTGGAGAATCATTTTTGCTCATGACAAAGAACGTGTTCTTGAGACGAAAAGCCCGTCTCTACATACTTCCAAAGATAACCGGTAATGCACCCTAACTTTGGACTCTGTCTTCTGGTTTACCTCGCCATACAATCTCTTTTATTAAAATATGAAAAACACACCGTCAAATACAAAATATCAAAACAAAACGACTACGGTCCAAACGGACCTACATGAACAGAGAAACGAACATTCATAAATATCACTATTGGCAGCAACACATAAAGATGAATAGTGATTCGACAATGAGGATGGCCGTGCAAAATACATGTACGATCTAGATCAAAGCCATTTGCCGATGTCGCCTAAGCCTATATTCTCATGAGCATTTAGTTTAATAGCTAACAAGGTAGAATGGTTGTTGTATACATGCATGATAAAGTGGAGTTTTCTTCTCGAAGCAAACACCATAATCGGTCACAAAAAGAAACGCTTTAGAGCCTGGAAACGTATCATTTCGCGATAAGTAAATTCGCATATCCTACATGAATAGCAGTTTTCTCTCGTCTCATTTAAAAATATATGGTTGCAAAATCTTGCGGGCACTGGTTCGTACTGGGAAACTGGCAAACGGTTACGGGTCGTTGATGATGACCTTTTCCATCATTTGCATCATTTGTTTGAACTCTACCTCGCCCGATTTCGAGAGAATATTCACAAACCGATCTACGGCTCCATCGCACACAGGCGACAAGCCGATTCCAACCGGCACCAAACGCGAGTAGCTATCAATAATAGTACTACAGCTTTGGTCACAATTCACATCAGTTTTTTCAGTTGGCGGGCGAACAACTATCCACGCCGTTTCATCGGACTGCAATCCCTCAAATTCATCCAGCCCTTCCGTAAAGCAACGCCACAAAAACACCAGTCGATCTTTCTGTCGCCATCTCTTCGCTGCACCGTGGATATTGAAAGACACAGTTTCTGCTTCGCTGATCTGATATGTTACGCGGTAGTTCATAGCTATCGCATCCTTTAATTTAGCGGTCTCGTAGCCCCCATCTGGATCAGACATCATCACAGTCTCCAGACCATCGGCCGCTTGCTCAAACTTGTACGGGAATACGATTCGGTCCACATTGTCGAAGTACACCACGCCGTCTTTTTGTTTTCGCGAGTAATTATACGCCGCAGACACCACTGACTTGAAATCCAAGTCGCGCATAACATCATCTATTCGTAAATAGGCAGCGTCCAGCTCCTCCAGCATATTTTTGTGTAGCGCAGATACACCATTCTCACAGTATTTTGCATACGAAATCGGTGGGTCTTGTTCATTTATCTTCAGTGGTTCGTCCAGCAACAAGCTCATTTGGTGAATCAATCTCGACCTTCCAACCACTTCCGCTCTTAACAGTTTCTGCTGTTGCTCCGCTTGCATTCGTCTTTCCAGTTGTCGAGCTGCAACTGCTCGCCAAGCGCCGAACATCAAATTGCTCGCCTGTTTTGCCTTCCGTTCAGCTTGACTAGTCTCTAAACTGGTCAGCTGAGCAGACAGCTCAGTGGCTTGTTGTTTTAATACTTCCTTCTCATCTTTTAGCTTTTGACGATACCGCACTCGGCGCTGGGCTGCCAGAGCGTTTCGAATCTCACGCCGCTTTTCTGCGGAGAGTTCGTCAGTACACTGAGATTCACTCCTGTCGTCCTCAGATGATTTGGCATTCGTTGACGCAGAACGAACGTCTTGTTGTCGCTGGTAGTAGTCGGAGTTCTTGTGTGAAGCAAGCAGATCCTCCGTCTCCGCTAACAGTTGATGGCTGGCCAGGAGAAGCGAATCGTCGACAGATGTCGTAGCTGCCTCGTGACTGTGATTCTTGGCACCTTCAGGGGCGTCAGTCTGGTCTAGAAACGTTGCCACTTCGTCCAAGAAGGCGTCTACTGACTTCTCCCCCTCCATCTCAAATTTGTCAGTGGGAATATGAAACGAACATTCTGGACGATGTACCCAGCGTTTGGTACAGAAGTGAGCATTTTTGATTCTGATTCAATTATTGGTCGATCTATTTTAGGTAAGTTCTTTATTGATAAGGTTTTTGAATTTAAAATAATATCTTATATAATGTGGATATATTAAATAATATTTTAAATTTAAGAACTTAACTCACCAATAATTGAGTTGAAACGATTGATAAATAATCTTTCAGGTTTTATTTGTAAAAAGTCAAGAAGTTGATAAGCAAAAGAGAAAATTAAGTTGCTGTAAGTTGTAGCTCTAACTCGATCTATTTCTGCAGCATGGGCTACACAGTCGTACACCATCTTATCAGTACCAGTGGACTTTTGTGGAATTCAGTACAGTTCTCATTTTAATAAAACGTGCTATTATCGACAACAAATTTTCGCTAAGAGAGAAATTATTTTTTTTTTTTAGAGAAAGGCTCATATATGGGTACTTGATCTTCATCTACGTTGAGACTGGCACCCCCTACAAGCTTACTAAGGTGTTTAATATACGTTGCTTGCATAGTGACGGCTGTCTGGAGCCGTTGGTTTTCACTTTCCGAAATGAGACGTTTCTCCTTCTCGCGCACTATCTCGGAAAGGCTGCATAAACGGACTGGTGCCGAGCCCCAAGCTTGCTTTTGCACGCTGCCCTCCTTAAGGTGATCCAATTGTCTCGATAAATTCTCGACCTCGTTCTCCAGCCTCTTACGCTCTACACGTAGTCGCTGTCTATATCGACGTTGACGATTCCTCTCCGTCTCCTGCCTCCGCCTCTTCTTGCTACCAAGCGACGACGAACTCTTACCATTGGATCTGTTCATGTCGTCTACATCTTGAGCAACTGGGGGCGGTAACGAAGACCACAAGGTGGGTATTAGTGAGTCGTCGATGTCTTGGCAGAAATCAATTAGCGAGGTAGTCTTGAACAATGGGCTTGTAAGAGCTATTTCAAGCAATTCCGGGAGGTCATCCATTTCACCTGACAATAGTGTAAACGCCAAGATTTAGACGGAGAGACTGAGCGTGTCAAGAAAAGTGTTATTTCAGTTGTGAGTCCCCTTCTCCTCATGTGACGTCACAGCTGATCTGATCCAGTAAAAAAACGACTGAGACGGTAATTTCCAACTTGAATGAGCTTTTCCGTTGTAGCATTGATACCGGATGGCTCGTGGCAGATCTCGTTTGTTAGCCATTCCCTCTGATGATTGTTCCAGAAAAGAGAAATGGGAGTAAACTACCCATTGTTTATTCCACGTGTACACTTGTGATTGCAGAGGATGTCGTTGAAGCTTCAAACGAGATGACTTGATGAGCCGATCAGTAAGACGGGGTTATACGGACAAGGCATCCCGCTGTGAATTCTATCTTTCAAACAACAAAATATGTTCACTCGCCTTCCCGTATAACTAAGCACCTCAGTCAGGACACCAGAATCTTAGTAACATTATCAGCCACAATATGACGGAGCGTACGATGAGGGCCCGTCCATTCAATCGATTTTCCTGTACAGACAATCCCTTCGGTAGTGATCGCGTTGTGAACCCCACAATTTATTCCTGTCTAAGG